TTATTTTTATTTTATTTATTCCTACGTGATTTTACCGAAAAAACCCTAAGAGTATGTTATTTTCTAATTGCTTATGCCTCAAAAGTACAGAAAATGGCTATTATTCCCCACACACTTTGCTTTTGTGACCAGGACAGTGACATTTTTAAATGTACCTATTTTCAATGAGAAAACGTGGTGTGCATTTGTGTCATTCCTGCACATAAAGTCCTGGTCACAGAAGCAAAGTTTATGGGGAACAATAGCCATTCTCTGTACTTTTGAGGCATAAGCAATTAGGCAATAACACTTACTACCCAGGAACAAACGTCGTGTTACATTCCTTACATAGTGTTAGTGTTCATCTTGGGAGCGGTGGCGCAGTTGGTGAGCGCCGCTGGTCACCACTGAAGCCTGCGACCCGAGTTCGATTCCCGCTCACGGCCACCACCGACATTCGGAACCGACCACGGGCCTCCCCTAGGTCGACTCAGCCTTAAACGAGCACCCGTTGCGGCGTGATAAGCTTCGGCAGTGGGGGAGACAAAGGCGGCCGGGCGTGGTGTTGTCCACCCTCGCACCCCCTCGTGTGCCACAGCGCCGGCCTCTACGAGGTGCTCGCTAACAGCACTTGCCCCAACAGTCTGTTAAGGCTACACGGGGGACCTTTGTGTAGTAATCATAAGTATAGGCCACACGATGGGCTTTTCATGGGCTTTAGCGTTGCACTCCACGGGAGATGCGTTGTACGTGCTGGTCCCGATGTCTTGTGACCCACACTTAACTCTCAATTTACACGCAAAAAAAGTTTTATGTAAAACATAATTGAATATGCAAATTTGTAAAAAAATATTAGCGGTCAAATTTTGACTTAAAACTTTCGTGACTGCAGGAATTCATATTCTATGCTTCTTTCGGTAAAGTCACGTTATATAAAAAATAAGAATAAATAATATTAACTTTATTTTGATTATTTGTTATTTTTTCTCATCTACGTCACTTTACCGAAAGAACCACAGAATTGTATTTTATTATGTTGTATTTTTATTATTTTATTATTTTCCTTCTACGTGACTTTACCGAAAGAACCAAGAAGATGAATCCCTGCCAGTCACGAAAGCTTTAAATCGAAATTTAACCATAGAATATTAGCAGTCACTGAACATCTGGACCAGCCTGGAGAGCTCTCACAGTTTGGCCGTCACTGCGCTGAGAAGTAAAGTCACTCAACGTCCGAGATATGACCAGGAGCATCACTGGCACGGGGGGGGGGGGGGGGGGCAGTGTGCGTGCCCCCCCCCCCCTCCATCTGCGATGATCACTTTTCTAGTTACGTCAATGTTTTTTATCTCGTTATTTATTTCTTCATTTTTTTGCCTTTTGATTTGCTAAGCAGTGGTGTGCTGTTTTTTTTTCTATCATCTGCGTAAGGGACTTGGGCTAATTAGGCGTGCGCAATTTTGGGATGAAATTGCATGAATTACGCTCTACAACATGAAATTATATTATCTGGTGGCCAAAGCTACGAGTCTTGGGGGGGGGGCCCCTTGTTTTTTTTTTGTTGCGGTTGCACCCGATTCAAGAGCCGAATGGCTCACAGGGCTATACCTAATACGTGAAACTTGAACTTGACCCGCTGGGGCCAGCGAGTGTGGATCAAGCAACGATGGCCCCTCACCTTATGGAGTTTCCCAGGGTTTATTATTTAGAACTGCTCGTGGCGTGCGTGAGAAGCACAGATCGTGACGGAGGGCCAATGGGGAGACCAGACGGAGATCTGTCAGCGAGCTCCATCGGCGTTGCCCCGAGTTGTGGTCTCGTTCAACCCCGGTGCATCGTTTGCTAAAGAGGATGTATACTCTTTGGTTCTTTCGGTAAAGTCACGTAGGTAGAAACATATTAAACAAAATAAAAGTAGTAGTAGGTTTTTACCCTTTAAACTGGTACAAAAACTGACACCTTTATACAAGGCATCATGTTTGCAATAACCACAACACAAGCAGTCAAAATGCAAACAAAAATAAACTCTGATCATGATATTTGTACCAGTTTAAAGGGTAAAAACCTACTACTATATTTTGCCACTGGTAAAGGAGGTCTCATAGTGAAAAAAATAAAAGTAATATATCACGACGTTTTGATCGCAACACAAGCGGTCGTCCTCGGGCAGAAAAAATAATCCAGCAGTAGAACTGCTTGATTATTTTTTCCGCAGTGGATTTGCTGGATTAGTAGAACTGCTTGATTATTTTTTCCGCCGTGGAACTGCTAGATTATATTTTTCCGCCCGAGGACGACCGCTTGTGTTGCGATCGAAACGTCGTGATTTATTATTTTTATTTTGTTTAATTTTTCTACCCACGTGACTTTACCGAAAGAACCAAAGAGCATGGATTACGGCAGTCACGAAAGCTTCAAATCAAGAAAGAGTATTTGTTCATATAACGAGTTGTTTATAATTGTTGTTGTTGTTGTTGTTTTCGTCCTTGACAGTTGTTTCGCGTGTCTTCATCTTCGGCCCACCCACTTTGCGGTCTTCTTATTCGCGGTTCACTTATTTGTGTGCTGTGGGGGGGGGGGGGGAAGAGCCATTGCCCGAAACGTCGTCCTCTTACACCCTCATTTATTTCGAAGGCCACGGTGTTGTCTGTTTAGCTAATGTGTTGGGGACTTTTTTTGTTAACTGTGCCTATGCACAAAACAATGTGTCTTCATTTGCTGACGCATTCAATAATTTCCTGTAGAGCAGTGGTTCTTCACCTGCGGTGCGAGATGCCCTTTCTGGGTGTGCGATAAGTAGCCAGATTTTTTATTTTAGAAATAATCGAAAACACAAATTAAGCACGGGCACATAAGTATAACTACTTTGTTTCATCAAACCCCTCTGTAGTTATTAACATTGTACATGTTTTATTAGCTGAGAACCAAATGGGTGCAAGGCTGCAGTAAAGGTTAAGAACCACTGCACTACACTATACACTACACTTCTATACACTGCACTATACACTACACTATACACTACGCTATACAATAAACTACAATAAACACTACACCATTATACACTACGCTATACAATAAACTACACTATACACTACGCTACTATACACGACACTATATAATAAACTACACTATACACTACTATACACGACACTATACACTACGCTATACAATAAACTACACTATACACTACACTACTATACACGACACTATATAATAAACTACACTATACACTACTATACACGACACTATACACTACGCTATACAATAAACTACACTATACACTACGCTACTATACACGACACTATATAATAAACTACACTATACACTACTATACACGACACTATACACTACGCTATACAATAAACTACACTATACACTACACTACTATACATTACACTATATACTACACTATACAATACACTTCTATACACGACACTACTATACACTACGCTATACAATAAACTACGCTATCAATAAACTACACAATACACTACTATACACTACACGATACCAGTGGTTCTTAACCTGGGGTGCACGCACCCCCTAGGGGTGCGAGATGCCCTTTCTGGGGGGGTGCGAGACGTGGCCAGATGTTTTTAGAAGGTAAATAATCGAAAACACAAATTAAACACGGGCACGTCAGTACAACTCACTTCGTTTCATCAAACCCCTCTGTATTTAACATTAAATGTTTTACGATTGAGAACCAAAAGGGGTGAAAAGGCTGCAGTAAAGGTGAAGAACCATTGCTGCTGTCGATGATCACCAGTGTTTATTAGAATGACATTAAATTTCGATTTAAATTTCGATTTAAAGCTTTCATGACTGCAGGTATTCATCTTCTTGGTTCTTTCGGTAAAGTCACGTAGAAGGGAAGTAATAAAATAATAAAAATAAAACATTAAATAATTCTCACGACGTTTCGGCCACAACGCAAGCAGCCGTCCTCAGGTGAAGAACATGTTTGTCGATAAGACAGAGTCTGAATGACACGTCCTAGGCTTGGAGCGTCTATTTAAGCTGTGAGGGAGGAGGAAGAGTGCCTTGGCATTGTCATCAACCATTCGAGGACGGCGAATTACTTTCACCATTTTGTCTGGAAGTATTTTATTGTTCGAATAAATTCACGGCGGAGCAGGTCGACGGTCCTGGCTCTTGGGCTGTGTCGTCTCCGCCCCCGATGGGTATCATTCGCGTGCGTGCAATCTCAATGCATTTGTGCCTATCATAATTTTTTTTATTTATTAATGTCTTCGTTTGCGAGGTTGAACTACATCAGTTTCCACTGAGACTTTCATCCAGAAGCTGATAGGTCGCTTCTGCTGCTGCTGATGTATGCCGAACTTCTTTCGCACCGTATGTAACCAAACGTGCTAATCGGAAGCGACGATCGATTCATTTGACGCTGATTTCTACTTTCTATTGGCAGATCGACGACGACAAATGTTATCCCAGACAGAACCCATCATTGCTCGACTACGTAGAGTTTAAGAGGGCGTTGAACAATCATGCGGTAAACCAATTTTTATTTTAATTAACACCAAATTGGGCTTCCGATGCTTCTCCGTGACTGAAGAGGTCAATTGCGTGTGGAAGGCGAAACCTCTCGAAACCAGACTCGCTCGGGGGTTAGAGCCTTCACCACGGGAAATTCCAAGCACGTCGTTCAACTCACGCTAATCAACCATTTACAATACCCCCATTAACGATTAGGCAATCACTTACAATTTTAACAACACTTCAGACATCACTCCAGAATAACCCTAAGTCGCCTGCCACCCCCACTGTGTCGAACGGGTGGAAGGTTGCGGATTCGAAAAACTACAATTACAGTTTCAAAGAAAATTTCGTGCACTTTTGATGTATTTACAAAATTAATGTCTGTCACGGAGAGGGCACAAGACCACCACCAGCAGACCGATATCATCCGTGAACCCGTGCCCCTGGACCACTATCGCCAGACGACTTAACAGCCTTTTGTGACCCCCCCCCCACCCACGCAACTTTGTCAAAGCCCTCTCCTTTAACATCACGCGGCATGGCCAACCTCACGGACACGCACGCCAGCGCTGGTTGCATCCACTACTTGGACGCCTTCAACTGTACGGGTCCCACCATGTCCCTGCCCGCTCTCTCCGCAAGCCTGGCCATCATCTCCTTTTTCGTGGTGGCCACTGTCCTGGGCAACCTGCTCATCATGAGCACCATCGCCTTCTTCAAGCAGCTCCAGACGTCCACCAACGTCCTCGCGCTGTCCTTGGCCGTCACCGACTTCCTCATCGGCCTGATCATCATGCCGATGGCCATGACCAAGGAAATGTTCAACTGCTGGTTCTACGGCGACATGTTCTGCAATGTGCACTTCTTCGTCGACTACATGCTCACCAACTGCTCCATGCTCCACCTAGGCAGCATCGCGCTCCAAAGGTACGTGGCCGTCAGCGATCCAATGCACTACGCGACCAGGATGACCAGCAGATCGTTGGCCGCGATCATTGGCTTCTGCTGGCTCGGCTCGGCCGTCTTCTCGTCGCCCATCCTGCTCAGCTTGAGCCCCGCGCTTTCGGAGCAGACGGTTGCGAGGAAATCCTGCGCGGACAACTGCCTCTTCTACGTGCACATGGGCATCATGTTCGTCGTCGGCTACTGTCCCTACTTCGCCTCTCTCCTGGTCATCGTGTGCGTCTACGCAAAAATCTACAGGATCGCGCGCAATCAGATGAGGAAGATCAGATCGGTGGCCTGCAAGGTGGAAGAGACGACGCGCCAGGTGATCAAACGGGAGCACAACGCCACGAAAACTCTAGGGGTCATCATATTCTTCTTCCTCCTTTCGTGGCTCCCGTACTACCTCATCGTCCTGTCGTCCATGGCCGTCAAGAACACGATGTCTGCATACAGGGTGGCCCTCTGGGCCGGTTACATCAGCTCCGCTTTCAACCCGCTGCTGTACGCGTTCTTCAATCTGCACTTCCGCAACGCGTTCAAGATGATGCTGAGTTGCAAAATATTTGCGCCCAGAGCACGACACACCGACTTAAATTTCCTCAACAAGGCAACGAATGATCGTAATTAATTTGTATAGTTTGTAGAGGACTCCATCATAATCATCATCATAAGCTATGACCTACCGACTGTTGGATGAAGGTCTTACCAATCCTTTGCCATCTATGACGGCGACGCGATGTACCAATTCACCAAGCAACGGTACACCTGGCGCCAGTATACTAAAAACTAAACAAGAAACTATTTTAAATGTTACCAGATAAAGGCCCACTGAGCTATGTAGCTCTTTATCAGAAGCGACCTGGCCACAAATGATAGCTCAACGAAGTGGCTTATCACGTAGGAATGTATAGCAGTAGCCAAATATTCAATAACGCACGTCGATTCTAAATGCGGAGGGAAAACCCGCAGAACCCAGAGAAAAATCCACGTGGCCACACAGAGAGAGAGAGAGACACCATAAACTCCAAATATACGAGTGTCAGGCTCGGGATTGAACCCACGACCTCCTGTATACCAGGCGAGGTAGTTAACATCTCATCACCTCTTGGACGTGTTCCCTCCCTTGGCTGTCGCCAGAGGTCGCAATCGGGTACCCGATACCCATACTCTACCCGATACCCGGCTACCCGTACCCGGCTGGGTACGGGTACCCGTTTGCGATCCTGGTGCGGCCGGGTACGGGTAGGCCGTGAGTCACTGGTGAGTAACCGTTTGTCACTCATTTCCCAACGTCTTGTCTCTTCTCACAATTCAAGTTTCTAGAATCAACCTACCCGCGCCTGCAACATGGCTTCATCCCAGAGGTCGCAATCGGGTACCCGTACCCGTACCCTACCCGGCCAGGTATGGGTAGCCGGGTATCGGGTAGGGTACGGGTACCCGATTGCGACCCTGGTGCGGCCGGGTACGGGTACGGCAGAGGTCGCAAACGGGTTTTGATTCCTTACCCGTACCCGGCCGCACCAGGGTCGCAAACAGCTACCCGTACCCGTACCCGGCCGGGTACGGGTAGCTGGGTATTGGGTAGGGTACGGGTATCGGGTACCCGGTTGCGACCTCTGGGGTACGGGTAAGGAATCAAAACCCGTTTGCGACCTGTGGCTGTCGCTCCCTCATTAGTTGCGACGTCTCTCGTAGCGACGTGCCCTGCCCAGGCTCACACTTCTAAATGGGCACCAAATAGCACAGGCTCAATTTGAAATCCTGTTTGCGACGAACATATTTCTTCATGTATCAGGTGATGTTAGAAATAAAATACATATTTGAAGTCTCTGAATCTTAACGACTCGATGCTGTGGTGTTTTACTTGATCAGTTCGATTTCTCATCCATCATTTCAGAATCTTTAGAATCAGAGTGTGTATGTATGCTGGGGAAATCCGATGAGCTATGAAGCTCTTTTTTACGAGATTTGAAGCTTTCGTGACTGCAAGGATTCATACTCTTAGGTTTTTTCGGTAAAGTCACGTAGGTAAAAAATAATAATAATAAAAATAGAAATAAAATAAATCACGCTGTGACGGTCCCACCTGATGACGGAGACTTGTGTTGCCTCCGAAACGTCGTGATTTATTATTTTATTTCTATTATTTTTATTATTTATTTTTACCTACGTGACTTTACCGAAAAAACCTAAGAGTATGAAGCTCTTTTTCACAGATGTGGTTCTGCTTTGCTGATGTTCACCGTTGAGCAGAGATCGCAAACGGGTTTTGATTCCTTACCCGTACCCGGCCGCACCAGGGTCGCAAATAGGTACCCGGCCGGGTACGGGTAGCCGTTCCCTACCCGTACCCTACCCGAAATGAGTGACAAACGGTTACTCACCAGTGAGTCACGGCCTACCAGTACCCGGCCGCACCAGGGTCGCAAACGGCTACCCGTACCCGGCCGGGTACGGGTACCCGTTCCCTACCCGTACCCTACCCGAAATGAGTGACAAACGGTTACTCACCAGTGACTCACGGCCTACCCGTACCCGGCCGCACCAGGGTCGCAAACGGCTACCCGTACCCGGCCGGGTACGGGTACCCGTTCCCTACCCGTACCCTACCCGAAATGAGTGACAAACGGTTACTCACCAGTGACTCACGGCCTACCCGTACCCGGCCGCACCAGGGTCGCAAACGGCTACCCGTACCCAGCCGGGTACGGGTATCGGGTAGGGTACGGGTATCGGGTACCCGGTTGCGACCTCTGCCGTTGAGTGCTTTATTTAAAAAAATTAGAATTTGCTTTTCCCCAGTTTCATCCCGATTGTGCTATCGGTGCCATGGCACAAGACGAAGTATATCCATTCCGGACTCTCACAGAGCAGTGCAACCCTCCTGCCTGAGTCAGACCGATATTTTAAATTCACAGAGCAGCAATTTAGTCGATTTTGGTGCGGATACAAATTTAACGCGAGGCGGTTATTTTTCCCATCAGTCATTTTGCCGACCGGGTTGAGATGACCGACGTGCCACGCCTGAGAGTACGAATTAGTCACGGGGTGCCTGGAACCCGGATTCGAACCCAGGTTCTCAGTGGTTCCAGCTAACAGCATCTGACCTCTGACTCATCCAGCCACCTTCCTTATCCTAAAATGCGTTTTATAGTTACATTTTCTCACCCCATCCGCCCCCCGCCAGCCCCCGTTTCAGAAACAGTACAAAATGTGACGGACATGGATAAATGATTGTTTACGTCGACGTTTATATCGTTGTGAAATAAAGTAAACAAAAATAACAGTTTGTTTTCCCAACTTGATAAACTTATTTCATGGTGGTTTTTTTTTGTAAAGCACTCAACAACATCCGTTATATATATCATATTTCACACACAGGCAACAGATATGCGCATCGGCCGGTACAGCATCCTCTGCATCAATGTTATCCAGCAGTATATATATATTTTTTAAAGCAGGCAAACTGTCGACCCGATTCAACTTCTCTCCGTCTCATCAGTAAGGTGTGACCGGTGAATTTAACTGTCATGTAATGAGAACGTCTGCATATTTTTTGGCATTATAGAAATTTAACTTCAAACACATCTTTACGATAAGCCGGGGAGTGGCAGGATAGTAACTTGAACACTGTGTCCAGGTTGGCATTCATAGCACAATGTGCGAGTTTGATCCTCAGCTACAGCCAACAGTGGTCAATGCTATCTGAACTGATTCTGGGCCCCCCATTCAACCAATCTGTACTGACTGGCGTGGTGAAGTATGGTCAAATAACCCCCATGACCAACAGAGATACCCTCCCCCACCATGACGCGCACCTCCGAATAGCACGGTTGGCTACGTACGGTGCGAGAGAAGTGCAATATCACTTTAACACGTAGGCTTTCACGACCAATATTATCCATAAGAGTTTTTTTGGGGTTAGATCGCGTAAATATAGATGTGTCGTTAAACCCGCCACCACCCGACACAGCGAATTACCAAGGTTTGTCACGTTAACAAAACATGCCACTATGAGACCTCCTTTACCAGTGGGAAAAATATAGTAATAGGTTTTTACCCTTTCAACTGGTACAAAAACTGACACCTTTATGCCAATTCGTTACGAGTACATCACACCGGTGTGTTGGAGAGTAAGTCCACAACATTTACAATTCGAGTAGCACGTTTCGCCAGTAATTACAACTAGCATCATCAGGCGACAGCATCAGATTTGTGGAAAAATCTTGCTGTTTCGGTCTGAAATACGGAGCAAAGTTATGTACATACGGCATGGACGGGTCTTCATCTAGCAACGGATTGGTAAAGGGTTGTAAATTACATGTATACATTTTTTTATTGTTACTTTGGGATAATACAGTGAATTAAGGCGGAACCAGACAATATGAACGGAAATACAAACGAGAGAGTACCAACGAGAGAAAAAGGATTTGATTCTTGAAACTAATACAACTGGAATTGCGGGGAGGAGGGGAGGGGGCGGGGTTGACTCGTTCGATTCCAATCAAGACGGTATAATCATCACCAGCATCATCATTACAAGCAGGACGATCGTCATCACTGACAGCAGCAGTATCATGATGCATTCTGAAAGTATAACCAGGCAAACAGTACCCATAATTAATTAATTTCCATGGCAATGTGGTAATAAATTATCAAGTAAAAAAAGGCCCAATGGTTGATACAAAAATAATAAGTTGCAAGACAGTAGACATAAAAAAATATATAATAGCCCACAACAAAATATTTGTTTTAGATAAACTAGCACTGCCCATGCATTTGGGCATGGTGGAGAGTGGGTGGGAGCGGGAGGCGTGACGACAGCATGACGCACGTACTGCAATGCAGGTGACGTCATAACGCAGGTGTGTGTTGTGCCGTCATCACCGTGCACTTGGCTGCCCGCACGCATGCCAGCCAGCCAAACTTTTTTTTATAACATAGTATAAAAACGTTTGCGATTGTGCTATCGGGGCCATGTCACGACCACAAAATAATCTATTCGGGTCTCGTGCAGAGCACTGGAATTAGAGAATAACCCACGCAAGCAGATACCACAGAGCTACCTCTGAGATCCCTTCAAGTGACTTCTGTTCCACACACAGCAGAGGGCAGCACTTTCCCACCCAACCCTGTCCCTTGAAAAGGAATGTTCATTGCACAATGCTTGGGAATTCTGGCAAATTAAGCGCAAAACTAAATTCAATGTGACAGATTTCTTCGCGCAGTCATTGGTAACTGGGTTGAGATCATCAACCGGCTGAGTCAAAGGCGGCTGAAACCTGCATTGGAACCCAGGATTCCCAGCGGCTCCGGCTCCGGCTCAGCGCTCCTGAGCCACTCCGGCCACTCCACAAGACATCACGACGTAAGCGATGTTCGCGATCCATTACCGAGCATCACCCGGCGTCTCTAATAGCGTGGCAGTGAAAGCACGGAGTGAAATAAAACCAAACTTCTACAACTACCTGCACAGCGTGGCGAGGCACTCATCCAGCAGTGGATTGACGAAGGGGCTGTACATGTACACGATAAGGCAATGCACATCACAGTGAGACAACAGTGAAATGTAAACAGAAGAATAAGATTCTGATTTAAAGCTTTCGTGACTGCAGGGATTCATATTCTTGGTTCTTTCGGTAAAGTCACGTAGAAGGGAAATAATGAAATAATAAAAATATAAAACAATCAAAATTCTCACGACGTTTCGACTGCAACACAAGCAATCATCATGTGTGAAATCCACAGCAAGAAAATGATTTTTTAATAATTATTTTTAATTATTTGAAATTTTCTTGCTGTGGATTTCACACCTGATGATGATTGCTTGTGTTGCAGTCGAAACGTCATGAGAATTTTTATTGTTTTATATTTATATTATTTTATTATTTCCCTTCTACGTGACTTTACCGAAAGAACCAAGAATAAGAAGAATAAAATTTCCATGGTGCTGGCTGATGGTCTTTTAACACGACCATTCTAAGTCGTTTGAGCAACCCAGCCACTTAAGGCTTTCCTCAAATATTGTTTGGCCTAATTGCCCAATTGTATGAAATTTGTGCCATGCGCTATGCCAAATGAAGAAGACATTCCCATATGAAATGCTCACAGCGAGTAGTGCACCGTCCTGTGTCTGGAAACAAGCCCTGAAGATGGTGTCATAGGACTACTTTCACTTCAATTCACTACAAACCAGGTCTCTTTATCCTGATTTAGGGAACACCGATCATATTCTCTGTAGAGCGTTCATTCCATATATATATATATAAAAACCTGAAAACGTTCTTGGCGCTGTAGGTTTAGTTGAATTAAGGGCAAAGTTATAGCGAATAAGCTTTTTGTTATGCAGTTGCTGGTCACCAGGCCAAGAAGATCAACGTATGATACTTAAGGAAAGCGTTTCACGTTAAAACACTTCGGATTTACCATTCTCAGCTTTTCAATGAAAACTTTGGATCGACAACGAGGATCATTTAGACTTGGTTATCGACTCGTACGCCTCCGGCCTTACAACGCCAGGCGCCACCATTCCCCCCACCCCCTGCACCACCGAGGAACACAGCCCAAGCGACATTGACATAATCGTCGTTGGCCTGCATTATCTCCGTCATTGATAATTGGTTTTTTACCCTTCTATCTGGCAACAAAACTGACACCTTTTTTACAAGGAGTCATGTTTGCATAGACCACAATACCTGCAGTCATAATACAAACAAAAAACATAACTCTGATAATGTATGCACTGTCCTTGAAGTTGATTGGTCCACACCCGAGACAGCTTTCCTTAGAGCCTAGTTTCACATGGGTTGGACCAGATGACGCCAAAAGGCGCACAACTCAAAGACAATGCACCATCAGAGTATGAGAGCTCGGGGTAAGCATTTACACCATTGGAACCTCATTTGCCAGTAAAAAATATGATAATTGGTTTTTTACCCTTCTATCTGGCAACAAAACTGACACCTTTTTTTACCACAATACCTGCAGTCATTTTTGTTGCCAGATAGAAGGGTAAAAAAACAATTATCATATTTTTTACTGGAAAGTGAGGTTCCAATGGTGATGTTAACTTCCTTTTTCAGTTTAACACGTAGGCTTTCGCGACCAATATTATTCATAATTAAGGTTTTTGGGTTAGATCACGCAAGTATAAATGTGTCGTGTCCCTCCACCACCCGACACAGCCAATTAGTAAGGGATTTGTCACGTAGACAAACGCCAATTAGTTTACTACTTCAGCCCAACGGTGTGGATTTACTCTTGAGTACTCAAATTGTAAATGTTGTGGATTTACTCTCAAACACACTGGTGGGCTAAAGTAGTAACTAATTGGCGTTTGTCTACGTGACAAATCCCTTACTAATTGGCTGTGTCGGGTGGTGGAGGGTTACGAAACATTCCCATTACAGATTAATCTGAAACTCGTCTCGACAATTCTTGTACCTAGGTCCGATTTTTATTTTTCGAATGACGCCAAAATCGGGAGACGCATCCCTTGGACACACGAGAGAGAGCCGGGTTTGATCATATTTGGGGCGGCTGAAACCTGGATTCAAACCCAAAGACATTGGCGTTTTCAGCTCAAGTCTCTCCGACACGGCTCTTATGAACCCCCACTCCCTGAGCGGCTGCCCCGGCCACATCATATCACACCTCACCTCTCACCACGATTAACGCAAAACCTCTCGAAGCCGGACTCATTTTTGGGGAGAACCTTTCCAGTTACGGCGGACGCCCGAGACATACTGACAAAAATGTGAACTAAACCACATCATTGTCAATGCAAAAAAATTACATTTACACGTGTAATTTACACCTGACGCGTTTAATTAAAAATTAACCAAAGATTTACAATATCATATTTACATTTTTTCTCATAACAGTTCTCTATCCGAGTCGCTTACCATCGGCACGTAGCAGAGAGGGAAAGCTGAAGCTCACTGGATGTGGAAGTATGAAGAGATTTTCTGACAGGCTTGAAGAATTTATTCAATTATTTATTGTTACTTTTTAAGAGCGAGAGAGTGCATACCAGACCACGTGGCATCCAAGGGCATGGGCTCAACGAATGCCAATCAACAGATAAGTTTATCGCTTTAGAATTACTTGTACGCTATTGCACGTCAATTGCGTTTCTTGCAATGGTCGGGTGGAAGCGCATTTGAGAATTCCTACACATGATTGGCACTGAGCTTTAGGACGCTGGTAAGCTGACGGATGTGGATTGACTAACAGAACAATTTGTCATAATTAGCGTACGGACTAATTAGCGTGCAAAGTGTTCCAGTCGGATATTTTTGCTTTCATCATCATCATCAGCCATGAACAATCAACTGCTGGATGAAAACCTCCACAAGACAACTGCCACCTCTCATGGTCGTGCGATGTAATCATTCGCCGAGCACCTGCGCACCAACTGACTTCATCGCTGCCTATCCTGGTGGACGCCCCATTCAGACAACATTCCATTTTTTGGTTTACTAATTTATTTTCGGGTATACCTTTCCAGCATACCGCCACATTCCGGCTGACTCGGGCCTGGCTTTGAGAGGTTTTTTATTTTTTTGCCGAAGCATTACTCCCGCGATTACCATCACCGGACGAGACTCCTCGCGATCACTCTGAGTCGACCTGGAGCGAGGTGTCGCTGCACGGCTCCCCGCTGAGGCTCGGCTCCTCGCTGAGCGGGTCCTCGCTGCTCAGAAAGTCGCACTCCTCCTCCTCCTCGTCCTCCTCGGTCGCCGTCGCCACTCGTCGATTGCCGTTCTCGTCGGCCCTGCGCCAACCCGCGGGGCCGCCATCGTCACCGTCCGGGAGCCACTCGGGCCAGTAGCGCTTGCGCATGCGGTGGCAGAACGCCACGAGGCTCGGCAGTTCCTCTGCAACGGAGACGGAAGGAGTGAACGGTGCAGGAAAGTAACGATGGATGTACGTTACAAAATAAACTAAATCTATTTCTGTTTTCCATAAGAGGTTTTTGTGATAATTGTTTTTTTTACCCTTCTATCTGGCAACAAAACTGACACCTTTTTACAAGGAGTCATGTTTGCATAGACCACAATACCTGCAGTCAATATGCAAACAAAAAACATGACTCTGATAATGTGCACTGTCCTTGAAGTTGATTGGTCCACACCCGAGACAGCTTTCCTTAGAGCCTAGTCTCACATGGGTTGGACCAGATGACGCCAAAAGGCGGTTTTTGTGTTAGATTGCGTGAATATAATTGTGTTGTTAAGCCCGCCACCACCCGACACAGCCAATTAGTAATGTTTGTCACGTGAACAAAACATGGCAATTCGTTACGAGTACAGCACACAGCTGTGTTGAAGAGTAAACCCACAACATTTACAATTCGAGTACGACGTTTTGCCAGTAATTACAACCAGCCTCATCAGGAGACATCCATCATTGAGGAGAAATCCTCCTGTTTCGGTCTTAAATAGAGGTAAATGTGATGTTTTTATTTCACAAGGTAAGGCCCACTCAGTTGTATATCTCTTTTTTAGAAGCGACCTGAAATGTATTGCAGCCATCTACTCTAAACACGTTTCTAAATGCGGAGGGAAAATCTGGAGGTTCCGGAGAAAAATCCACGCGACCACAGGGAGAACATGCAAACTCCAAATATACAGGCGTCAAGGGTTGGGATCAAACCCTCGATCTCCTGTATACCAGGCGAGGGAGATAACATCTCGCCACGCAGCGCCCGTGTGTGTATGTACGTTGAACTTCTTTCGCATCGTACGTAGCCAAGCGTGCTAATGGGAGGTGCAGGGAAAGGACAAGCAACTGAACAGAAAAAGCAATTCCAAAGATAGCTCCAGTGGCTTCCTAATATCTGAAGAGAGCGTTCCAGACAGCCGCAGAAGCGCGCTACTTATCACCAGTGTTTTCTTTTTCGCAAGGTGGTTATAATCCAAGCGTGAGAATTGAAGACGCCCGCACAGTAAGTAGTGCGCGATGATAGTTTGAGACGAGAAATTCTCAACGGAGCAGCCTAACCTGCAGAATCACGCTTGGGATTTTTAATTGATTCGTTGATTCAAATTGACCTCTTACGTACCACAGGGATCCAAGGTCTGACCCCTGTGGTACGCCAACTAGGCACAAACGTCCACATATAAACAATTAAGTCGCATGCAACTGAGTTGAGCAAATGATCGCTCAGGTGTGGACCCGGGGTTTACACTACACCACATATTGTCGCGTCACCATGGACACCCTTGCATACGAGATGTTCCATCTCTAGGGATTTTCGGGGTATTACAAAAAATAAAAAATGCAGGCATATCGCGCGGCAGCATTACTCACCGGTGAGCAGCTGGTGCGGCCGCGAGCCAGGCAACAGCCACAGTGCGATGGAGAGGTGAGCGAAGACGCAGGCATCCGTAGCACCAGGTCGGTCACCCAGCATGTAGCGCTTCGTTCCTGGGAATGTACAACAACAGCAGCAGACGCCATTCGCCACTAAGTGGCGGTAACGTCACCACAATGCTCCTGCTAGGTTGGATGCACTGAGGCCACGTGAAGTGTCAAAGGTTTCTAGATTTGAAGCTTTCGTGACTGCAAGGATTCATACTCTTAGTTCTTTCGGTAAAGTCACGTAGGTAAAAAATGAAATTAAAATTAATAAAAATAAAACAATAGGTCAAAGGTTTGCTGGCAGGCCATGGGACATAGCCAGAATGTACACACGTCACGGGAACATACGAAGACAAAGATCCCGTATAGTCTTCAAAGATTGTTGGGGCAAGTGCTGTTAGCAAACACCTATGAAGGCCGGCACGGCACACGAAGGGGTAGATGGCCAACACCATGCCCGGCCGCCTTTGTCTCCCGAGTGGCGATGTTTACACACCGCACCAGGTACTCATTTGAGGCCGAGTCGATGGGAACACACACATCCACACACATGCACAAAGACAAAGGTCACAAATATAGTCTTAAAGAAGCTGTTTGGGCGAGCAGGTGGGGTGAGCACCAGTGCTGAAGTATACACAGCACGCAAGATACTAATTTAAGGCTAAGTTGGCCTCGAGGAGGCCAAGTCAACTTCTGATATTTGCCACCGATGTTGGCCATGGCTGGGAATCAAATTCAGATCATGGGTTCGCCGCGCAGTAAGATAAATACTACGCCACCACTCCCCAGACAATGTGGAATAATCCTTGGCAAAAACCTTTCCAGGCCAGCGGACTAAGGAAGGAAATACGCGAGTAGATTTTATAATTCAGTACGGTCACCATTTTTTATAAAGGGGGACCACCAAGGCATCCTTCCTAACGTGTAGAACCTGTCCAGTGGTTCGAGCAGTTATAATCATTTCATGTTAGGCAGTGTGCGCACAAACTCCCTCAGCAATTCACATGGGAGATCATCCCTGCCCAGTGCTTTAGCAGGTGTCAGGGTTCTTCACACCTGCTCAGCACACATACCCACACAGCCACACACACACACACACATGCTGTTAATGAGCACCTATGAAGGCCGGCATGGCACACGAGGGGGTGAGTAACCAGCACCACGCCCGGCCGCCTTTGTCTCTCCAGTGGCAATTGTGCTGATGTTTACACACCGCGCCAAGTACTCATTTGAGGCTGAGTCGACCTAGGGGAGGCCCAGGACCGGTTCAAATGATCGTCACTTGTGTTGGCCGTGAGCAGCAATCGAACTCGGGTCGCCGGGTTTGTAGTGCAGTTGCGTCACCGCTCCCCACGAGACACGCACAATAGTTCAATGTTAACGTGCCATATAATCGAGGCACTACGTGTTTTCTTGGTGTGGTCTGGGACAGTTTTGTTGTTATTTTTGCAACCTTGTCCAATCTTGATAAATCGGACGTATTACCTACTATAATCACCCAGAAGTGTCTGTCTGTCCCCCGCGTGACGTCACTCCACATGAGGCCCACCCCACCCCCGCGTGACGTCACTCCACATTAGGCCCACCCCACCCCCCGCGTGACGTCGCTCCACACGAGGCCCACCGCCTCCCCGAGTGACGTCACTCCACATGAGGCCAACCCCACCCCCCGCGTGACGTCACTCCACATGAGGCCCACCCCCCCCGCGTGACGTCACTCCACATGAGGCCCACCCCACCCCCCGCGTGACGTCACGCCACATGAGGCCCACCCCACCCCCCGCGTGACGTCACTCCACATGAGGCCAACCTCACCCCCCGCGTGACGTCACTCCACATGAGGCCCACCCCACCCTCCGCGTGACGTCACTCCACATGAGGCCCACCCCACCCTCCGCGTGACGTCACTCCACATGAGGCCCACCCCCCCCTGCGTGACGTCACTACACATGAGGCCCACCCCCCGCGTGACGTCACTCCACATGAGGCCCACCCCCCCCTCATTAATATTCATGAGTGGGTGGATTTTTACACTAACACAGAGGGAGGTCGAGCCGAATTAAATAATTTATTACGCAAAGTCGCTTCAAACGTGACGTTTCTTTACAGAAAGTGACGGTAAAAAATCAATCTACGCAGCACAGTGCTACATCCGTGCGTGACGTCACTGCAAGAGCCCCCCCCCCCCCCTTCATTAATATTCATGCCGCGTGGAAATTTACACGAACGCACAAGGTCGTGCACTCCACATGCTGCACCCCTCCCCAATAAGCATGAGGGGGTGACGTCACTCCACATGCTGCACCCCTCCACAATAACCATGAGGGGGTGACGTCACTCCACATGGGGCAACCCCCCCCCCCTCATTAATAATCATGAGCGGAACAATTTTTCTATTGAATATTTCAGATTTACTGCCATAGACACCTCTCCTTGGACGGGCAAGAAAGCTAGTATAATAAATGTTTGTATAATTATTGCTTCATATTTAGTGACTTGCTTACTGTTTTCTTTAATTTGCACTCCTATCGTGTTTTTGCATCGTTTGCTGTTGTAACTTGCCGACCACGTGCCCCTACTGGACATCTGCGTAAATAAAAAAGCTTCATAGCTCATCGGATTCCTCCCGCAGTCTAAATAAAGATCCCCGACTCCGACACGCAACACGCACGCATCCGGCGTCTCACCCAGGATGTTGGCGACGGCGCGGATGTCGCTCTCGATGGCGCGATGCGCCTCCTGCGGGCGCGCGGCCCACGCCAGCCCGTGCGCCGCCAGCTCACGCCGCAGCTCGGCGCACACGAGGCCGCAGCGCAGGCGCGCGTGCAGGCGCGGGAAGGGCCCCGTCACGCGCACCAGGCGGCGCATCGTCTCCTCGCACTCCAGCCACTGCACGCTGCACAGCGCCCTGCGAGCACGGAGACAAGATGGACACGGCTCCCTCCACCCCACCGCGTAGCCTACCGCATGGACCCGCTGCTGCGGCAAAATGCTGTTAGCGAGCACCCACAAAGGCCGGCACGGCGCACGAGAAGGTGTGGTGCGATCGGCACCGCGCCCGTCCGCCTTTGGCTCCCCTTTATTGATATTTACACAGAACTCCTACGAGTCTGTATGTAAGTACACGGGTCTGTATGTAAGGTCAGTGAATGCGACGAGAGTAGATGCACAAACTCTGAGCAGCGGACCCCATGCAATTGATTGGACTTGGAGAAACACAAAATGACCCTCTTGCGCTACCAGTATGTGTGGTCCTCCAGCATCTTGATGACGGCGCGCGCCACCCCGCACTGGTGAGCGCTGGCGGGCAGAACTGCCGAGTCACCGCTGAGCGACTCCATGAAGTCTCGGACGGCCTCGATGCCCTGCACGGCTTGCGTCTTCCCGTGTCCACACGGGACCTCCAGCCATGGTGAGACAGCGTGCGGGGGCAGCCACGCATCGCTGCACACCTAGGGGACGCGCGCGCAACCGCCCCCGCACGGACGCACGGACAGACAGACGGACGCATGGACAGACGGACGGGCGGGCAGATGGACAAATGGGTATGTGGATAGATACACAGAGACATCGATAGGCACGTGGGGACATGGATGGATGCATGGGATGGAAGGACAAATACATGGACAGATGAACACGTAAACACGTGGGAGAACGGACACACAAATGGACAGATGGACACGTGGGTGGACCGAGATGATTGGAGAGACAGATGGATGGACTGATGGACACGGGGAATCAACACAGACACAAAAAAAGACACAGACGGTCACATTCATGGACAGAAATATACAGCAACAATGACAGACCCACAGAGAGACAAACAAACACATGCAGTTTAAGCAGAAGGAAACTTTCAACTTTTTTGGGGCTTTAAAGGAATTTAATTTCCAATGACGGGCCAAACACATCGCCATACATCGCACGAGAACTCACGCACAATTACATAGGCAAGGGCAGAGAACCTTCATCACACCGCAGTAACACAAACATTCACGTGAGAATCAAAACTTCAATAAAAAAAATGCAAAAATAGCATAATTCTCCAACGTAGTAATCACGATGATGTAAATAATAGAAAAAATATAATAACCTGCACAATCGTGGCATCTTGCATGCAGCCATATGCGCCGAAACATCTACACACACCAATAACAAGAAACGAATCAAAGGAGCACAAATTATGATACAATTTAATATGCACTTAACAACACATCAATTCATTATAACAGATTACGCTCGTGATAGAAGCATCGAATCATACATGTAGAAACAAGTAAGTTACAATTCATTCAAATTACATGCTAATTACATGCTAATGCTACTTTTGGCGAAAAAAAAACTAACGGGACGGGCAACACAAATGAGGCCGTGCAGATGAGAGACAAAACAAGCGAGACAAAAAGAGCACGCTAAGCACCGTGCAAACAAGACAAGCAGCGCAAACAGGCCAGGCAGTACAAACAAGACGGCATACACGAGACGCACAACACAAATGAGCCAACAACAAAAAAACAAATGATTCCAGAATACAAATCTGACTCCTACCCTCGCGGTTCGATGGGTGAATTGTCACACGTGCCAACCAACGGTTTAGTGGCATCGCGTATTTGGAAAGGACCCTGTGGTGGAAGGAATTAAATTGGCCCCCCACCACCTCTCACCACCTCAGTCTGTCCAATTCCCCAATCGCTTCATAGGCATCCTCCGGCCTATTGGGTCCCGATACAGTTGCATGGCCTGCACACAGAAGCTGCGGCTCGATATTTTGGTGCCTGGGGCAATGTGCCACCGCTCCTGCTGCTGTGGTGCTGAAACCGTCTACGAGAAACCTTATCACTGGCCGCCACCGCTTGCCTCGTTTCAAACTATTCGGTCGCGCGTTCGGAACGGGGTCCACCTCGGCCGAGGGTGCGCTGCGGGGGCCGACTCAGCTACCACCGCCTCTGTACTAGACATCTGTGATATCAGACGTCTGTGTAAAAGAGCTTTACAGCTCATCGGATTCTTCCAGTGTAAATAAATATTCTGATACGGCACCGGCATGCACACTCAACAGCCACGCCAATGTGCCACAATGCGGCACAGCGCCCGAACGAAGGGTCCGAGTTGGGACGCGCGAAACATGGTCTCGCCTTGTAGGGCAGCCGTGCCATTCGCAGATGCGTCTCGGCGGTGAGGCACGCGGGGTAGAGACTGGGAGCGCCGCCCTTGGGCCGAGCGTGCTGGTGCAGGATCACGACATCCCCGCTCGCATCGTCAGCCACGGTGCACCTGGTAACCAACACGCGCACACACAGCACATCCACAGCCATCTCACAGTCACAGTTTGCCTTCATGTTTGAAACAACTGTTGCTGGTGTGTATATATCTTCTTGGTTCTTTCGGTAAAGTCACGTGACTTTACCGAAAGAACCAAGAAGATGAATCCCTGCAGTCACGAAAGCTTTAAATCGGTGTGTATATAATTTTTCTCATTGTATACAATTTAATATTTTTATGTTAATGAGTAGTTTATGAGGAGCCAGTTGAGGTGGTCCAGGTACCTGGTAAGGAAGCCCCCCAATAGACTCCCCCTGGAACTCTACTGGGCATGTCCCACTGGGCAAGGACCCCAGGACAAGCTGGTGGGACTATGTCGCTCAGCTGGCCTGGAAACGCCTGGGAATTCCCCAGGAAGAGCTAGAGTCTGTCGCCAGGGAAAGGGAGGTCTGGACCGCACTACTCACCATGCTGCCGCCGTGACCCTCACCAGGACAAGCGGACTGAGAAACGGATGAACAAATGTTTATGAGTGTTGACGTGATGATGGCGCTTAGAGTGGTATATTTGTGCTAGAAAGGCGCCACACATGTAAGCAGAAATAAATTGACTTGACTTGCTCGTGATAGCGATGATAGTATGTATGTTGAACTTCATTCGCACCTTACGTAGCCAACCACACTTATCAGAGCGCTATGGATAAGCTACGTCCTGGGCGTAAAATGGATAAAAGTTCAGGCCTGTAATGGATTGCTCTTTACCACTGCTCGGCGGAAGGGCCTCCATTACGAAGAAGCCCTAGACAGCCCCTTCCAGAGGATACTTTGGCCTCCTATTCCACCCCATCACACGTGACCTTGCTGATCGACTCTGGTAAACCCATTTATACCGCTGGGTGCACAGAGGCGGCAGGGAAGGGTGGATTGAAAAAAATTGCACCATCGTTGCAACTGCCAAGCGGGGAGATGTAATCGAAACAGAAACCTATGGATTGAAATTCCACTGTGTTGACCCTTTGTACGTATGTTGCACTTCTTTCGCACTGTACGCAGCGGGGGAAGGACTCTTTACACCACAATAGTAGGATAACAGATTCAGATTTCAACAGACAAAAATACTTCACCTGGTAGATATGATCACCTCGCGGATGATGAACGCCGCCGTGGCAAGCAGCGCCCCGCCCGCTACCCACAGTGCTTTGCGGCACCAGCTCACGTCTCCTGTGCAAGCTGGGGGGCTGCCCCCAATGTCTCCGCCGCCACCGCCTGCCAGCAGCGACAGGAACCCGGCCTGGGTGGCAGGGCACCCCGTTCCGCCAATTCCACCGCCGCTGCCTCCTCCACCGCCACCGCCGCCGCCAACTCCACCGCACCCGCCGCTCTCCGCCAGACAGACCCCACCAATCTTCTCGCCGGCCAACAGCGAGAGGAAGCAGGGCTGCAGTGGCGGCACCTGCCAGGAGCTCCATCCCCATTCGTACGTCAGCCAAGCCCGTTGCCAGGCGCCGCCCACAGGCCACGGGGAGCACTGATTGGTCCACATCATTGCGAGCCGCTCCTCCACCTGTAAAAGGGGGGGGGGGGGGGGGAGTCCAAGGTGTCAAGTTTTAAACTTAATTTGGAGCTTTCGTTAATGCAGGAATTATTCTTTGGTTCTTTCGGTAAAGTCACGTATAAAGATAAAATAATAAATTAAATTAAATACTAGCATACGACGTTTCGATTGCAACACAAGCAATCATCAGGTATAAATGAAATAGAAACACAAATATAGTATACTTAGAAATGTAATGTAATACAACAGAGAGTCGGATACCATAACAGTCAACACCCTATCTGGTTGATTACGTAGGGTGTTGACTGTTATGTTATCTGACTCTTTGTTGTATTACATTACATTTCTAAGTATACTAGATTTGTGTTTCTATTTAATTTATACCTGATGATGATTGCTTGTGTTGCAATCGAAACGTCGTATGCTAGTATTTAATTTAATTTATTATTTTATCTTTATACGTGACTTTACCTAAAGAACCAAAGAATAGTGTCAAGTTTTGCTGGAGATTCGTGATATTTCCCCACGCTGGTCAGTGCGTGTTTAATGAGAGCCGCCTCCGATATCGATTGCCAATTACTGTTAGCCGTGGCAGAGAATCTAACTCAAAGTCACTGGGTGAACTGTGCTTCTTAATAATTATCAGCCATTGGCAATTTACTGCTGGATGGTGGTCCTCCCATAGCTGTTGCTACCTCTCACGGTGTAGAAATCCGTATAGTTCCTGCACCAGAGATGATTTCACCACCCCATTTCTTCAGTGGACGCCTAACTACCATTCCATTATTATCCTCAACCATCGGCAATGCCCGACCGAAGCCCACTTATTTGTATTAACAGCATGTATTATGAATTTAAACTACATATGTTATCTAAGCCACGTGTTCCAATATCTTTCAATGCACAGCAATTCCAAGCATTCATCTCTCTTGATGCCGTTGATGCAATGTTTTATTTTTGTTGCTCTTTTTTAATGTATGAATGACGGCGTTTATGAACCACGAGTCATATCAAGTATCACACGCTGATTTGACAACACGTTCATCTATCAACAAACTGGGACGTTACTCTTCACGATCAAGTTAATTTCTCCAAATTTGCTCTGCTATCGTCTGCCTTTCTAAATATTTGTTTTTAATTGCAGATCGCCTTCAATAGCCTTCACAAGCAGTATGAAGTTGTCAATTGCTGATGCCCTCCAGTGTGTGTCCCATTTACTCGGTGACCTAGGGCAAGAGGACCACAATGTACAGTACTTGTTCGGGAAATGTTGATGGCTTTTGCATGATGCCAATGATGCATAAATCCATAAGCATAATGCCAAACAAAGGCCAAGAAAATAATGCTGATGTATCCATAATACAGCTTTTCTGTTAATATAAATGTGTCGTTAAACCCACCGCCACCCGACACAGCCAATAAGTAAGGTTTTTCATGTAAACAGAACATGCCAATTCGTTACTAGTATAGCACACCGGTGTGTTGGAGATTAAGTCCACAAAATTTGCATATCTACATTTACGCGATCTAATCCAAGAAATCTGTATTATAGATAATATCGGTCGCGAAAGCCTACGTGTTAAAATTGTGTTCTAGGGAAGGAAGTTCCAAGTATCACACTGGAAGAAATAAAAGCTGCCCTCTACACACGATGAAGTCATGGGGACAATCCTGCACCACATGGGATGTGGTGACTGTTGACATCACCAATCGTAGCAGCATCAGCATCCTGGCACGTGTTTACGAAGCGTTTCCGTCTAAATTAAATGCGCCAGCTCACGGAATACAACCATGGAATTGTAACCCCAGGCACCACCACCACCACCAACCACCCTCTCGGCTTCGCGTCTCTGACCTCTGAACCAACACGATGCTATGCAGATCTCTGTAGAGACATGAACATTTATGATACCAAGGAAGAGGAGGAAATTCCATGTCTCACACTGGAAGAAATAAACGCTGCCCCCTTCACACAATTAAGTCAGTGGGGGCATTTCTGCACCAGATGGGATGTGGTGACTGTTGACATCACCAATTGTAGCAGCATCAGCATCCTGGTACGTGTTTACAAAGCGTTTCCGCCTAAATTAAATGCGCCAGCTCACGGAATTCAACCATGGAATTGTAACCCCAGGCACCACCACCATCACCCACCACCCTCTCGGCTTCGCCTCTCTGACCTCTGAGCCAACACGATGTTATGCAGATCTCTGTAGAGACATGAACATTTATGATACCAAGGAAGAGGAGGAAATTCCATGTCTCACACTGGAAGAAATAAACGCTGCCCCCTTCACACAATGAAGTCAGTGGGGGCATTTCTGCACCAGATGGGATGTGGTGACTGTTGACATCACCAATTGTAGCAGCATCGACATCATCCTGGCACGTGTTTACGAAGCGCTTCTGCCTAAATTAAATGCGCCAGCTCACGGAATGCAACTATGGAATTGTAACCCCAGGCACCACCACCACCAACCACCCTCTCGGCTTCGCGTCTCTGACCTCTGAGCCAACCCGATTCTATGCAGATCTCTGTAACGACGTCAACATTTCTGATATCGAGGAGGAGGAAGTCCAACACTGGAAGAAATAAACGCTGCCCCCTTCACACAATTAAGTCAGGGGGCCACTCCTGCACCACATGGGATGTGGTGACTGTTGACATCACCAATTGTAGCAGCAGCATCAGCATCCTGGCACTTCCCTTCTACGTGACTTTACCGAAAGAACCAAGAAGATGAATCCTGGCACGTGTTTACGAAGCGTTTCCGCCTAAATTAAATGCACCAGCTCACGGAATTCAACCATGGAATTGTAACCCCAGGCACCACCACCACTCACCACCCTCTCGGCTTCACGTCTCTGAAAACCTCTCGAGCCAAACCCCATCGCCTCGGCTGGTTCCGAGGCTTAAACTCTCACGTTCGTGCGATTTCGCCGGTGATTTTCGTCCTCGTTGGGAGAGGCAGAAAAAATAATCGAGGACCGCGGATTTCCCCTGAAACCGACCGATGGAAATTGCACGTTCATGCGGCGAGGCCGAGTACAGGCCTCGCAGCTGACGTAATAAACGCACGGATGCATTAGCAGGCAATGTCGTGGTCACACAGAGGCACCGCATTTAATATTAAACATGCCGTTATAAGTGCAATATACGTATCGTTTATATGTATCTTATATACGTGTATTAGAACGTACGTGCAGATTGCGTGTACGGGTACAGAATCGCCCTTTAAATCGCGCGCGGGTCACGTTGCAACAAAATGACGCTTCGCGTTAATTATAAGACGACAAAAAATAAAACATTCTTACCGTTTGTGGGCCGCCTTCAATGATTAAGCTTTTATTTTAAAGCATCCTTAAGCGAGTCCCATCGCCAGCACGACGGCTCATTCAATGGACGCGGCTCGTGAATGTGAGCTGAAGGTTGCCTATTATTTAGACTCGAATGTTGTTGTTTTTTGCCATTACAACCGGGACAATGTCCAGGCACCGACTGTGTTTATTGTGCGGTGGGTGGGGGGGGTAAGGAGGAGGGGGGAGGGGTGGTGGGGGGGTGGTGGGGGGAGGGGTGGGGGGGGTAAGGAGGAGGGGGGAGGAGGGGAGGGGGTGGTGGGGAGGGGTGGTGGGGGGAGGGGTGGGGGGGGGGCAATGCGGGCCAGGAGGAACGAATCTGCAGGGGTCGGAAGCACGCGCCGAGTTTCCCTTCACGCGGTAGGGAGAGAGAGGGGTTGGGGTGGGTGGGGGGAGAGGGTGGGGGGAGGAGGGGGATGAGAGGGTGGGGGGGGGAACGGTGGGGGGAGGAGGGGGGGGGAGAGGTTGGGTGGGGTGGGGTGGGGGGAGGGGAAAGAGGGGGGGGGGTAGAGGGAAGAGGGTGGGGGGGAGAGGGTGGGGGGGGAAGAGGGGGGAGAAGGGTGGGGGGGAGAGGGGGGAGAGAGGGTGGGGGGGAGAGGGGGAGAAAGAGGGTGGGGTGGAGAGGGGGAAGAGGGTGGGGGGGGAGAGGGGGGAGAGAGGGTGGGGGGGGGGGAGAGAGGGTGGGGGGCGAGGGGGGGAAAGGAGGTGTGGGGGGAGCTGGGAAGCGGGTGGGGGGAGAGGGTGCAGAGAGGTGGGGGTTGAGGGTGGGGGGGGAGAGAGGGGGGAAAAGCAGAGGGTGGGGGTTTGGGGGAGATGGTTGGGGGGGAGAGAGAGGGTGGGGCAATGAGAGGGTGGGATTGAGGGGGTGAGAGGGGGAGAGGGTGGGGGGAGAGGGTGGGGGGAGAGGGTGGGGGAGAGAGGGTGGGAGAGGGGGGGAGAGGGTGGGGGGGGGGGAAAGAAGAGGGTGGGGGTTTGGGGGAGAGGGGGTGAGGGAGTGGGGGGGGGCACTGAGCGAGCGATCGCGCGCCCGCGCTTTCGTCGCGGTTGCCGCGGCAACGGCCTAAGCCGTTCGTGTGACGTCACCGCACTGAATGGACTGTCATGGAAGGCGGTCCAACACAACAATTACAGTAACACAATCTGTCAATCCCTTATCAGTAACTCCCTTGTTACAGACAAATTCAGACCTTATTGGTCACCGCGTGCCCTTATACATCTCAACATTCATCCTACAAAGTGCCATCACAAGGGAGAAACACAAACACCATAAATGACGTCACGCGGCGTCACAAAAAGTCAGACCCCCTCAAATATGACGTCACAAAGCTCTGCCCCCCCCCCCCCCAAAAAAAAACATTTCCATTTTTAAAATAAAACATGCTTCAATTCGCTTTAAACTATTGTCATTGTAGTGCGTATTTAATGTGGCGCTGCGCTCTGATGTTGTAGGAGAAAACATTTATAAAAAAAAGGCGTTGGAAAGCTGAAATTTAGCATAAAATTCACTTGAAAATATTCAACGTCTAACTAAAACTGCAGATGGTCAGAATATTACATTGAAATTCTCTTATAATTATAAAATATTAAAAGTAATTATAACTATTAAAAAATACTTGAAACTTTGTAGTAGAACGAAGCAAAATGGAGAGTACAATTATTACAATCACATATTCATTTCACAGAATTAAAAGCCCTGGTAGAATCATTAGAATCAAAATGTTTAATAACAATCATATTTTTTTTTACAAAATTGATACTTCTCCATTCTCCCATTGCGAAGCAAAATGCTCCTTCATGGAATAAACAAAAGGTGACCTTAGTCAATTTGATTAATAGAATAGTTAATCATGAAAATTAATCAAATTAGTGTTGTTATAACAATTCTATTTAATTAATGTTTTTTTTAAGTTGCGCATTTTTATGTGACGTCACATTTCTCAAACCCCCCCTCCCCCCTAGGTGCGTGACGTCATTTATGGACGGCCCCTCACCACCACTACACTTACCACTAGTACACTCACCATTACAAACCTGTCAACCCCTTAATCCTAGATTTGAAGCTTTCGTGACTGCAAGGATTCATATTCTTAGGTTTTTTCGGTAAAGTCACGTAGGTAAAACATCAAAATTAATAAAAATAAAATAACGTCGTGATCTTTATTTTATTTTTATTAATTTTGATGTTTTACCTACGTGACTTTACCGAAAAAACCTAAGAATACTGTCAACCCCTTATTAGTGCCTACCTTATTACAGATCAACGCAGACGTTATTGGTCACCCCGTGCCCTTACAAATCTCAACGTTTATCCGACAAAGTCCCATCACAAGGGAAAAACACAAAATTTGTTTTTGCTTTTAGCCCGTATTGAAACGGCTGTACGCAGAATGGGCCTGAAACTCAATTTCCCTGGACAAGAATATATATGGGGTAAACTGTATGGGTTGACAGATACGGCAACATCAGAATATGTATTTATACAGAGACTCCTCTAATTACGAACAAATCAGTCTTTATATCATTCATATGCCACGTGATGAACCAGCGGCATCTACATCTGCAGAACGTGAAGAACCAGTGGCATCTACATCTGCAGAACGTGAAGAACCAGTGGCATCTACATCTGCAGAACGTGAATAACTAATGGAATCTATATCTGCAGAACATTAAAAAACAGTAGCATCTACAGAACATGAAGAACCAGTGTTACCTACATCTGCAGAACATGAAGAACCAGTGGCATCTATATCTGCAGCACATGAAAAACTAGTGGCATCTACATCTGCAGAAGATTAAGAACTAGTGGCACCTTCATCTGCAGAACATGAAAAACCAGTGGCATCTATAGCTGCAGAACGTGAAGAACCAGTGGCATTTACATCTGCAGAACATGAAGAACCAGTGGCATCTATATCTGCAGAACGTGAAGAACCAGTGGCATCTACATCTGCAGAACATGAAAAACCAATGGCATCTACATCTGCAGAACATGAAAAACCAGCGGCATCTACATCTGCAGAACGTGAAAAACCAGTGGCATCTACATCTGCAGAACATGAAAAACCAGTGGCATCTGCAGAACATGAAAAACAAGTGGCATCTACATCTGCAGAACGTTAAGAACTAGTGGCACCTACATCTGCAGAACATGAAGAACCAGTGGCATCTACATCTGCAGAACGTGAAGAACTAGTGGCACCTACATCTGCAGAACATGAAAAACCAGTGGCATCTACATCTGCAGAACGTGAAGAACCAGTGGCATCTACATCTGCAGAACGTGAAGAACTAGTGGCACCTACATCTGCAGAACATGAAAAACCAGTGGCATCTATATCTGCAGAACATGAAGAACTAGTGGCACCTATATCTGCAGAACATGAAGAATCCGTGGCATCTACATCTGCAGAACGTGAAGAACAAGTGGCACCTACATCTGCAGAACATGAAGAACCAGTTGCATATACATATACAGAACAGGAAAAACCAGTGCATCTACATCTGCAGAACATGAAAAACCAGTGGCATCTACATCTGCAGAACATAGTGGCATTTATATCTGCAGAACATGAAGAACCAGTGGCATCTACATCTGCAGTACGTGAAAAACCAGTGGCATCTATATCTGCAGAACGTGAAGAACCAGTGGAATCTACATCTGCAGAACATAAGAACCAGTGGTATCTACATCTACAGAACATGAAGAACCAGTGGAATCTACATCTGTAGAACGTGAAGAACCAGTGGCATCTACATCTGCAGAACGTGAAGAACCAGTGGCATCTACATCTGCAGAACGTGAAGAACCAGTGGCATCTACATCTGCAGAACGTGAAGAACCAGTGGCATCTACATCTGCAGTACGTGAAAAACCAGTGGCATCTATATCTGCAGAACGTGAAGAACCAGTGGAATCTACATCTGCAGAACATAAGAACCAGTGGTATCTACATCTACAGAACATGAAGAACCAGTGGCATCTACATCTGTAGAACGTGAAGAACCAGTGGCATCTACATCTGCAGAACGTGAAGAACCAGTGGCATCTACATCTGCAGAACGTGAAGAACCAGTGGCATCTACATCTGCAGAACGTGAATAACTAATGGAATCTATATCTGCAGAACATTAAAAAACAGTAGCATCTACAGAACATGAAGAACCAGTCTTACCTACATCTGCAGAACATGAAGAACCAGTGGCATCTATATCTGCAGCACATGAAAAACTAGTGGCATCTACATCTGCAGAAGATTAAGAACTAGTGGCACCTTCATCTGCAGAACATGAAAAACCAGTGGCATCTATAGCTGCAGAACGTGAAGAACCAGTGGCATTTACATCTGCAGAACATGAAGAACCAGTGGCATCTATATCTGCAGAACGTGAAGAACCAGTGGCATCTACATCTGCAGAACATGAAAAACCAATGGCATCTACATCTGCAGAACATGAAAAACCAGCGGCATCTACATCTGCAGAACGTGAAAAACCAGTGGCATCTACATCTGCAGAACATGAAAAACCAGTGGCATCTGCAGAACATGAAAAACAAGTGGCATCTACATCTGCAGAACGTTAAGAACTAGTGGCACCTACATCTGCAGAACATGAAGAACCAGTGGCATCTACATCTGCAGAACGTGAAGAACTAGTGGCACCTACATCTGCAGAACATGAAAAACCAGTGGCATCTACATCTGCAGAACGTGAAGAACCAGTGGCATCTACATCTGCAGAACGTGAAGAACTAGTGGCACCTACATCTGCAGAACATGAAAAACCAGTGGCATCTATATCTGCAGAACATGAAGAACTAGTGGCACCTATATCTGCAGAACATGAAGAATCCGTGGCATCTACATCTGCAGAACGTGAAGAACGAGTGGCACCTACATCTGCAGAACATGAAGAACCAGTGGCATATACATATACAGAACAGGAAAAACCAGTGCATCTACATCTGCAGAACATGAAAAACCAGTGGCATCTACATCTGCAGAACATAGTGGCATTTATATCTGCAGAACATGAAGAACCAGTGACATCTACATCTGCAGAAAATGAAGAACCAGTGGCATCTGCAAAACTTGAAGAACCAGTGGCATCTACATCTGCAGTACGTGAAAAACCAGTGGCATCTATATCTGCAGAACGTGAAGAACCAGTGGAATCTACATCTGCAGAACATAAGAACCAGTGGTATCTACGTCTACAGAACATAAAGAACCAGTGGCATCTACATCTGTAGAACGTGAAGAACCAGTGGCATCTACATCTGCAGAACGTGAAGAACCAGTGGCATCTACATCTGCAGAACGTGAAGAACCAGTGGCATCTACATCTGCAGAACGTGAATAACTAATGGAATCTATATCTGCAGAACATTAAAAAACAGTAGCATCTACAGAACATGAAGAACCAGTGTTACCTACATCTGCAGAACATGAAGAACCAGTGGCATCTATATCTGCAGCACATGAAAAACTAGTGGCATCTACATCTGCAGAACATGAAGAGCCAGTAGCATCTACATCTACAGAACATGAAGAACCAGTGGCATCTATATCTGCAGAATGTGAAGAACCAGTGGCATCTACATCTGCAGAACATGAAGAGCCAGTGGCATCTACATCTGAAGAGCATGACGAACCAGTGGCATCTATATCTACAGATTATACAACTTTTAAAGTCATTCCCTCTGTTTAGTGTACATGCCATACAACGTGTTTGCAATCGACAGGAGCAAAGTTGGATTTACGAACAAATCGACTTACGAACATACCCTTGGAACCTAACTCGTTCGTAAGTAGAGGAGTCCCAGTACTGGAGGAATATGATGAACTGTGAAGCTCTTTTTCACAGATGTCCAAAAGAGGCACGGGGTGAGAACATTACAACAACAAGACACAATACAAAACACAAGAATGCAAAGTAAAGGTCAACAAATCATTTAAAATATAGAAATACAACTTACTTTTTTTATCTTACCAGGTAAAGCCCACTGAGGTAATTAACTTATTTTTCAGAAGCGACCTGGCCACAAATGCTAAGCTCAGCAAAGTGGCTTATGTGGACATTTATAACAGCAAAATAATGTCAATACTGTAATCTCAATGCATGTTGATTCTAAATGTGGAGGGAAAAACCAGAAGACCCGGAGAAAAAATCCATGTCGACCACGGAGAGAGAGACACGTAAACCACGGCTTACCAGTTACCTCGAAGTGAAGAAAATCCCTGGGTTTTATCTTCCACGAAGCTCATGGTCCACCCAAAATCGCATCCACTGTACAAACCATGGCAGATGCGAATACCTGATACACAAATGGAAAATTAAAATGATGAAAAATAAGAATAGGTTTGAGCCTTTATGGCAATAAAAAATTAACCCGTAAAAACAAAGTTTTTCACTATAAATCCTTTATATGCGTGGCGGCTAGAGTCCTCTCGTCCTCTGGCTTGAGATGGCTGCCACCTATGGGTCAAATGATTGCCTGCCACCATTAAGCAATTGGTAATTAAATAAATAAAAATTCCCATAAAAGTGTAAAGTTATGGAAAAAAGATTTTCACGAAAATAAATTGTCACACACAACGAGTCTGTGTGCAAAATGTCAGCTCGATTGGATCACGGGAAGTGGGTTAAAAAACGACCGAAAGATTTGCACGGTCGTAAGCGCGCAAGCAAGCAAGCAAGTGAACTTAATATAAAGGATTTAAAAAGGTGTAAATCCACCAAACAGATACCTTTTTCAAGGCACCAAGTCCGCATTCACCACATATACTTTTGGAAAAACATGCAAACAAACATGCTCTGATAATATATGCAATGTCATCTGAACATCTGTTTGATGCCGGAAAGGGTTAAACCTATCCTTTATTTTTCATAATTTTGATACTGGCAAAAAGGTCTCATATATGGAAAATAAATAAATAAAATTTACAGTGTGCGACTGTCATCATCGAAAACAGACCGTACAAGATATCACTGACGCAATGCCCGATCCACAAATATAAAGGAGACATCACAGCGATACACTCCACTGCTCCTGGCACGGATATCTGACTGACCACCTAAATGCGAAATTCTGGTCGTTGCTCGGCATCTGCATCAGCCATATGAAAGAAGGCCATAAACAATCCAAATAATCTTCGACGTGCGTCTAATTTACACCATTGGAACCTCCTTTGCCAGTAGAAAAATATGATAATTGCTTTTTTACCCTTTTATCTGGAAATAAATCTGACTCATACTCTGATGGTGCATTGTCTTTGAGTTGTGTGCCTTTTTGCGTCATCTGGTCCAACACCATGTGAGACTAGGCTCTAAGAAAAGCTGTCTCGGGTGTGGACCAATCAATTTCAAGGACAGTGCATACATTATCAGAGTTGTGTTTTTTGTTTGCATTCCGACCGCAGGTATTGTGGTCAATGCAAACTTGACTCCTTGTAAATGAGGTGTCAGTTTTGTTGTCAGATAAAAGGGTAAAAAGAACAATTATCATATTTTGCTACTGGCAAAGGAGGTTCCAATGGTGTAAATGCTTACCCCGAGCTCTCATACTCTGATGGTGCATTGTATTTGAGTTGTGCGCCTTTTGGCGTCATCTGGTCCAACACCATGTCAGACTAGGCTCTAAGAAAAGCTGTCTCGGGTGTAGGACCAATCAATTTCAAGGACAGTGCATACATTATCAGAGTTGTGTTTTTTGTTTGCATTCCGACCGCAGGTATTGTGGTCAATGCAAACATGACTCCTTGTAAAAAAGGTGTCAGTTTTGTTGCCAGATAAAAGGGTAAAAAACCAATCATCATATCGTGCGTATAATTTTCTATTAATGGTTCCTGGATTTTGCACACAATCTGGGTTCAAAACCAATTAATGTAGCTGCCTCACAGTGTTTGGGACCACCTAGTTTTGTCTATTGGCATCTCCATTCTGCCATATCTGTCCTAATTTAAACTGACTATTAAAATCACCCAAGTTTAAGTGTGAACGTAACTTTACAACATAATAGCGATTAAGTTTACTTTTTAAATCTCTACTTATGGAACGCTTTCATGTTGTCTTCTGAAATGTTGACCAGGATCACGAAGCATCTGCCAGCTAACTGCCTAATTTCCAGTAATTCCATTTATATATTTAGAGTTTATAATACCATATGAACAAGTGTTAACCTCTACTGACTAGAAATATGCCCCAATTAATTTAGTATATTCCCAAGTGCCTCCTCAAACACACTTGTTTGTGTGTAATAAAAGTAATTCCTCATTGAGATGGTATTCTCTAGGGGGCATCTTTCTGCTCATAAGATAACTGATGTACATCAGGAACTGTGGTTTGAAGCATAAAAGGTTTTTGCAATGCAAAGATACCGTTAAAAATACATCTCAAGCTAATATTGTTCGAATGTCTAATTTAAAACATGAAAAAGTACATTTTCTAACCACGATTTGCGAATTTTGTTTTGTTCCAACAGGGTACACCATCCTTACTTCCATTGTCATCGTTCAAATTAAATTGAATACATATTATACAGGACCAGAAGCCTATGATTGTTCCGAAACATTTAAACGTTGTTGTCCAGTGAGTGTTTTCCCTCAAAGGTCAACACAAAGTGATTTGTTTATAATTATGGCAGTAGACTGAGCAGCATACTTGACTGTATCACAATACTTTTTAACACATTTTAAAAGTATAGTTTGTGCTTGAATTCAAACTTAATCTCATGCTAACATCCAAACCGGATATAATTCTGCATCAATGATATCCAGTTTGGATTTGAGCATTAGATTAATTTAATCCGACGTAATCCTACGCTTTGTCAGCTTAGATTGTACTTTGAATATTGGCATGGCTTGATGGCATTTGTTGATAAATTGGCATTTGTTATAAATACACACTGCTTAACACATTTAACTCCCCATTTCCCCTCACCATTAACACCGGGCGGCCCAGGTGTGAGCATTACCATTTTCGCTGCCCTATAGGGAATAACCTCACCACTCGCAAGGGAGCACAATAATCTCATACGTATTAATATATCAACCAACTAACTATATTAGTTTTAAACTATAATGTAAAAATGTCCACACGTATTATTTTGTATGTACTCTAAGCTGTAATAAAGTTTACATGGAAATTATTCAGTATGTGTGGCCATGAAACTGCGTGTTGCTACGGATGATTGGTGGGTAATATTGGAATTATTTAACATTTAAAAATAAAGATTCTTATTCTTGAGGGGCAATTTGTTTCCAGGGTGACAAAATATAATTATATCTTCCACCCCCAAAATATTGTAAATGAGGGAAGGTACAGGTTTGGAGGGGGTGGTATTATATGCCCCCCTGATGTTAGGTATACACACAAACACACGCACACACCACCCATATATAAAGCAGAGCACAATCTGTGCTGTGAGTTCTAAGAGGGTCACTTAAAATGGAAACATAAACACTCCCACCTAGACTCCGAAACACTTCTGAAGGCGTTATCGAGGTAAGACCTGTAAAACCCATGCATGCAGAGAAGGCTTTAACAAGCATAACCGCCTTTTCATTCAATACCCATACATTTTGCCAAATGTTTAACTAAATAATGAGACGTGGGTTATTTGGCCATTGCATGTTTATACTCTTAGTTCTTTCGGTAAAGTCACGTAGGTAATAAAATGAAATTAAAATTAATAAAAACAATAAAATCACGACGTTTTTTTTTTACCTACGTGACTTTACCGAAAGAACTAAGAGTATGAATCCGTGCAGTCACGAAAGCTTCAAATCTAGACATTGCATGTTTGTTTACAGTATATGTCGTAATGGCTTCGCTGAGAATAGTTAGTGTGTATTATTGTATTATTTTGAGGAAGAACGCATGGATCATACAGCAAATGCATGTTAGCCGTCATATCGTATAAGGTCGCACTTATTACACACACAGAGTGGCTTACCACAAAGGAACCACAACACATTGATGATCTCTAGATTTGAAACTTTCGTGACTGCAAGGATTCATACTCTTAGTTCTTTCGGTAAAGTCACGTAGGTAAAAAATGAAATCAAAATTAATAAAAATTAAACAATAAAATCACGACGTTTCGGAGGCAACACAAGTCTCCGTCATCAGGTGGGACCGTCACAGCCGGATTTGCTGCAGCAAATCCGGCTGATGACGGAGACTTGTGTTGCCTCCGAAACGTCGTGATTTTATTGTTTTATTTTTATTAATTTTCATTTCATTTTTTACCTACGTGACTTTACCGAAAGAACTAAGAGTATTGCTGATCTGGTCAAGAAGCATAAAGAAGAATCACGCGAACTCCGGTCATCCTCGCAGCAGCGTCTTTTTTGGCTGGCCATGAAACAAAGACGGTGACCGCATCGCGCGCTTTCAGATGCCCTTCCGCGGTCGTCTGGAATCCTCTTTCTCCTGATATTAGGAAGCCACCGGAGCTATGCCCTTTAAATCTAGACTGAAAACAAAATTCTTTAGAACTGATTTTTGCGTTCAGTTTTTTGTACTTCTCCCGGACCTCCGATTAGCATGTTTGGCTACGTACGGTGCGACAGAAATTCAACATACATACATATCGACTGCTCATTAAAGCGAGTGATCTTAAGCAGAACACGTCTTGACGTACGTACGGTGCGACAGAAGTTCAACGTACTTATACGTACATAGAGAAGGTATTCTGTCCACTGGACGAGACTGGTGATGAAATGACATAACAAGGAGCGAACGTGTCTGCCCGACGGTTACGAACACTTGCGCTGTTGCTCTGGAGACCGGGAGATCGATGATCGATGTTCGGTCGCAGAGTCGATGGTATTCGTCGCGATTTGTCACTTAACACGGTGGACCACGTGACGGCTGCCATTTTCCGCTCCAACTGATGACACCATTGACGAGATCAGATTGCGTGCACGAATGAGATGGGAATGTGGCATTTTTAAAAAAAAGTAAGAACATTGATACTCTTTGGTTCTTTCGGTAAAGTCACGTAGATGAAAATAATAATAATAATAAAATGAAAATAACTATAATTCAATCACGACGTTTCGGAGGCAACACAAGCTTCCGTCATCAGGTGGAACAGCCACAGCAGAATTACTGTCGTGAGAAGTAAATTTTGCTGTGGCTGTTCCACCTGATGACGGAAGCTTGTGTTGCCTCCGAAACGTCGTGATTTAATTTAGTTCTTTTCAGTGTATTTATTTGTATCATTATTTTTATTTTTCATCTACGTGACTTTACCGAAAACTTCAAATCTAGAATTAAAAAACATTTTGCTGTCATTCTTTACATTACTGTAGTACTGAAATAATAATACGATAATATTAATAGGCACTTATGTTACGGAGATTTTTATTTATTTATTATTGATATTTATGTTTTGGGCTGTCATTCTGTAATGCGGTTATTCTGCTCTGATTTCGTTGTATTTTTTCATTTCAGTGTTTGTTTTTTATTTTCTAAAATTTACTGATGAATCACGTCACTCTTGCAGCGGGTCAATACTGGTCTCTTGAATTCTCAGCTGGTGCAAGAAAATAAACTGGAATTTAACTTTCAAAAATCGAATGACATTCCAATTTGAATACAGTGCAGCGATAATAAAATTGAAAAATAGGAAATATTTACGTCACTTTTAAAGTCATTTTTAAAATGTGCTTTTTAATCAATGTCCTAATAATGCGTGCTGTTTGCTCTACGTGAAAATACTTCATTAATGAATGACCATTGAAAATGTTTTTCTGTTTCAGGAAAAATAATTAATATATTACTCAAAATCCATCACATATGGACAAGTAACATTTATATTCTTGGTTATTTCCCTTCTACGTGACTTTACCGAAAGAACCAAGAATATGAATCCCTGCAGTCACGAAAGCTTTAAATCGAAAAGTAACATTTAGTTTGTAAGATTTTGACAAAGACGGACACAATATACAAATATCCTCCAACAAGCAGTATGGCCTGGTGGGGCAGGTGCTGTTAGACAAAGATTAGTAGCACCGTGCTGAGGCTACGAAGGTATCTCAATACACACCCGCCCACCTTTGTCTCTCCGTCTCTCGTGTCTATGACCACCGCACACTCACACCTGCAGGTATTACTCATTTTAGGACCAGCACACCCTGAAAATACCCAGTCCAGAAACGCATGGTGACAATTTTCAAACACGGGCAAAGGCAAACATCACAATTTGGCCTCCATTGACTGTTGTAGCGAGGCAAGTGCTGTTGGCGAACACCTATTAAGGCCTGGCACGCAAGGCCCTTGGTATAGCCAAGGCCGTTTTTACAAAATGCTGAAGTTGACACCGTCAGTGTATCGAGTTCTCTGTTTTTTATTGCACGCTTTAATTTAACTCACTCTGTCTGTTGTTGTTGTATCCTCAAATGTTGTAACTAAATTTTAACCCACTTCCCAATGTGGTATCGACTGCAAACTTGGTATACTTATGTCATACTGATGACAATACTATATTCTATCATAAAAAATAAAATATACATGTATTTTTAAACATTATTGTTTAGATGTTATGTTTCGGCTTAGCTCTAATTGTCCACGCTCAACTGACGTTGGCTGTAATTGGCCACGGTCCCTTACGTTATGGCAAGCTTCGGGGCCATTTCCTGGAGTTGTGAAATTCTTCCATTGCTAGTACGGTACATTTCATTGAAGCGTGTTGAAAAAAAAGTTTTTTTTTAATATTACTTATTTTAGGCTAAGTTGACCTAGTGGAACACAGCTCTGGCATCAGACAGCGATCAATTTCCATAAGAGGTAATATTTGACTTGCCCTCGTTATCAGCCCGAGTGTGGGCTGTACGAATTGGGCCGCGTCTAGAGTATTTCCTTTCCGAAAAAAAAACGTCACAATCAAATTAATTCGTACTCTTAGGTTTTTTCGGTAAAGTCACGTAGGTAAAAATAATGATAATAAAATAAAATAATAATAAATGAAAATAACTCAATTAAATCACGACGTTTCGGAAGCAACACAAGCCTCCGTCAACAGGTGTAACTGCTCCAATAAAATTATTGTAGCGTGTGAATCATTTTACTGGAGCAGTTACACCTGATGATGGAGGCTTGTGTTGCTTCTGAAACGTCGTGATTTAATGTAGTTATTTTCACTTATTATTATTTTATTATTATTATGTTTACCTACGTGACTTTACCGAAAAAACCTAAGAGTATGAATCATTGCAGTCACGAAAGCTTCAAATCTCGAAATAAATTCGTCTTCCCAGAGTAGGCTTGCCACCTGCTCGGGGTTTTCCAATATTGTCCTCTTGTTGAGGTAGCTGCTTCTGTAAGTCTCCCCGTTCCACTAAAAGTCAAGAATGTTGCGAAGCTGCGTAACAATACGTACACCATACTCTTTGGTTCTGTCGGTAAAGTCACGTAGATAGACAAATAACTAATAAATCACGAAGTTTCGATAGCAACACAAGCCATCGGCTTCGACAGGTGAAACAACACAGCAGGCGGACTGCTGATGCAGGAGGAAATGTAGCGAGAGAGCCACCGCAAAAAAAACAGAGGCCACATACGCCTGTGGTGGGCACAACCCAAGGGCAAGTGGGCGGGCCTAGGGATGGAAATTGCAAGTAAATGCAGGATCGCAGAGCTCGCACACCTCGGCCGAGGGGGGGAGGGAGGGGAGGGGGAGGGGCCACCGCAACGGGCGAGAGGGAGAGGGTGAAATTTACAGAAGGAACAAGGTGATAGAGAAAGAAAAAATATATCAAACTTAGGAAACTTAAAAATGTAATGCAGCTCAGAGAGTCACACAACAGTTAACACTTTATCTCGTTGATCAACGTCCTTCCAAAGATTGCTAAATTTTGCATCCATCTTCTCGGTTGAAGTCATGTCTGAGTTGTGTGGAAATCTTCCCCGTAGAGGTGGCTCAATCTTAAATTTCGATTTAAAGCTTTCGTGACTGCAGGGATTCGTCTTCTTGGTTCTTTCGGTAAAGTCACGTAGAAGGGAAGTAATAAAATAATAAAAATACAACATAATATGTTTTATTACTTATTATGTTATTACTTATTATTATTTTATTACTTCCCTTCTACGTGACTTTACCGAAAGAACCAAGAAGATGGTTCAATCTTAATTGGAACATTTGCGAGCTCTGCGATCTTGCATTTTCTTGCAAATTCCATCCCTAACCCCAAGCACGTATGTGGCGTCTGGCTTGCGGTGGCTCTCTCCCGCTACATTTCCTCCCGCCTCAGCAGTCAGCCTGCTGTTGTTTCACCTGTCGAAGACGATGGCTTGTGTTGCTATCGAAACGTCCTGATGTATTCGTTATTTGTCTACCTACGTGACTTTACCGAAAGAACCAAAGAGTATGAATTCCTGCAGTCGCGAAAGCTTCAAATCAATACGTACACCGCTCAAGACAACGCATTTGCACGCAACAGCGGTCATGCAGTTGCCACGTGCTCTTCCAGTGCAGCATTGTTGAGATGCGTATCCTCCCTCCTCTCCCATTTCTCCCGTTATTTTGTACCTCAGAAGGTGGCAACCGCAGCACCTCTACTCGCCCCCCTCAAGACCACTCCCAATGTCACCACCGCCGGACGTTCCAACTCTCCTTTCTCCTCGCAACCAAACGACTGACGCCAACCGCTCGGCCACCACCGCCGCCGCCGCCTCAATGTCGCCGTCCGAGCGGCTGGTGGCCCTCTCCGTCATGACCACACTCATCGCGTGCACCATCGCGGGAAACCTCCTGGTCGTGGCGTTCATCGCCTACTTCAGGCACCTGCAGACCCGCACCAACGCGTTCGCCCTGTCGCTGGCCCTCGCCGACTTCCTCGTGGGCCTCCTCATCATGCCCTACAGCACCATGCGCAGCGTCGACGGCTGCTGGCCCTACGGCGGCGTCTTCTGCAGGGTGCACACGTGGCTCGACTTCTCCCTCACCACCTCGTCCGTCGTCCACCTCTGCTGCATCTCGTACGACCGCTACGTGGCCGTGGCCGACCCGCTGCGCTACCCCCAGCGGGTGACGCGGCGCGCCGTGGCCCTCCTCCTGCTCTGCTGCTGGCTCAGCGTGCCCGTCTACTCGTGGCCCGTAATGAGCGGCTGGTACAGCGTCGGCGTGCCGGACGGCCCCGGCGCCTTCGCGGGCTGCCGGGAAGTTTGCCCCGTGTCGGTGAGCGCGGCCTTCGGTCTGGCCAACATGCTGTGCGCCTACGCGGCGCCGATGCTCCTCATGTCGCTCACCTACGCCAAGATCTACCGGCTCGCGAGGGCCCAGGCGCGCAAGATCGACGCCGCCACCGCGGGCCTCAGGCGGCGGGGCCCAGCCGACGGGGTCGACGGCGACGGCCGGCGGTGGAAGGCGGCGATGAGGCGGGAGCACAACGCCACCAAGACGCTGGGCATCATCGCGGGTGTCTTCGTCCTCTGCTGGGTGCCTTATTTTGTCCTCTCGGCCACCGACTCGATGCTGGACGACGCGACGAGACGCGCCGCGGCCGACATCTCCAACTGGCTCACGTACGTCAACTCGACGCTCAACCCGGTGCTCATCGTCGCCCTCAACCGCTCGTTCCGCAACGCGTTCAGGGCCACGGTGGCCTGCAGGGTGTTCGCGCCGGGCTTCCGCGCCACTGACCTCTTCAACTACGACGACTCGGAACGCTGAGGGCCGTTTCCACTCCCTCCACCCCCCCGTTCCCGTACCCGGACCCTACCCGAAATGAGTGACAAACGGTTACTCACCAGTGACTCACGGCCTACCTGTACCCGTACCCGGCCACACCAGGGTCGCAAACGGGTACCCGTACCCGGCCGGGTACGGGTAGCCGGGTATCGGGTAGGGTACGGGTATCGGGTACCCGGTTGCGACCTCTGATTGGGATGTGTGGGCCAGCTATCATCAAATCGGAGTTTGACTGCAGATGGGAGGAAATCGCGTGCAATGAGTTTCAGAATCGATATCAATCAATGAATCAATGACATTGTTGCGCCTCTATTGATTTACCATTAATTGTCAATATTTTTGTGCATTATTAACATCGTGTAAATCAGTTCATGTGCTGGATACGATTCCATGTGGCGAAGTTCAAATAACTGAGAATGATGATGATGATGAAGGATACGTGTGCGTTGAAAGATTTTTCAAAAAGTCTATTTATTGACTTATTCATATTCGATCTTGATTTGAAGCTTTCGTGACTGCAGGAATCCATACTCTTTGATTCTTCCAACAGTGGCTGATGATGATTCCGTGCACGGACGCATCGATGAACACAGAATCCTCATGCTTGCGTTGAATCGCACTTGCATGAGGACCGATGTTTTTTTTTTTCTGTCGTAGATGATACGACAAGTTGTATTGATCCTTGCAGCCACTAGTGGCCGCTACAATCACCACAATGTTTCAAATGAATCGCATCTTGAATCGAATCACCCCACCGTGAATTGCACCGAATTGCCTGGGGAGCTCAGAGTTGCATGCTTTATCTGCTGTACATAATGTGTAATATTTACAAAAAGATACGTATATGAATCTATCATATTACAATACCAAACAGCTTTAAATGATATATGCTTTGTCAAAAGAGTTGTGAACATTCTTGCAATAAAATATTTTAATTCCCTGTTGCAGGAGTCCCGATTGTACATCGCTGTGATTGACAGCCCATGAGCCCAGTATGTTTAACGTATTCTCAGCAGTACAGGATGCACTCTTTTCCCCCGAATATTAAAGAGATCGTTAGGGGTGCGTCTTATAATCCAGAGAATACATTGCCTTTGAGACGAAGATGCATTGTAATCTACATCATGGGACCTCCTTTGCCAGTCCCAAAATATCAGAATAGGTTTTTCCCTTTTTTCTGGCAACAAAACAGGCGTTGAGATTTACACCATTGGAACCTCATTTGCCAGTAAAAATATGATGATTGGTTTTTTACTCTTCTATCTGGCAACAAAACTGACACCTTTTTTTACAAGGAGTCATGTTTACATTAGACCACAATACCTGCAGTCATAATGCAAACAAAAAACATAACTCTGATAATGTGCACTGTCCTTGAAGTTGATTGGTCCGTGTGCCTTTTGGTGTCATCTGGTCCAACCCATGTGAGACTAGGCTCTAAGGAAAGCTGTCTCGGGTGTGGACCAATCAACTTCAAGGACAGTGCACATTATCAGAGTTATGTTTTTTGTTTGCATTGTGACTGCAGGTATTGTGGTCTATGTAAACATTACTCCTTGTAAAAAAAGGTGTCAGTTTTGTTGCCAGATAGAATGGTAAAAAACCAATTATCAGGCGTTGAGATGTTAAAACACCAAACTGAAACATTTTACAAGGAATCATGTCTGCATTAACAACAATGATTGTGGTCAGAATGCAAAAAAAACACACTCTGATAATATATGCATTGTCTTTGAAACTGATTGGTCCACACCAGAGACAGCTTTCTTTTGAGCCACGTCTCAAACGGTGTCAGACCAGAGGAGGTCCCATGATGTAGCTGCTCACCCCGAGCTCTCATTACTCTGATAGTGCATTGTCTTTGTGCTATACACATTTTGGCGTCCTCTGGTCTAACACCGTTTTGAGACGAGGCTCCAAAAAAAGCTGTCTCTGGTGTGGACCAATCAGTTTCAAAGACAATGCAAATATTATAAGAGTTTTTTTTATTTTATTTTGACCACAAGTATTGTGGTTAACGCAGACATGATTCCTTGTAAAATGTTTCAGTTTGGTGTTTTAACATCTTAACACCTGTTTTGTTGCCAGAAAAGAAGGCGAAACCCTATTCTCATTGTAATCTAGTTGTTCAGTCAGAGGCCACACATACAGTTATAACCCCAGGTGTTGTGGGTTAATTGACATTACAGATTCACCAATTGTGTTGCTCACTCTGCCACCTTGCTGTGTTTTAGCCACCCCACGCTCCACTCGTTGTTGTGAGCGTCGCTCTTCCGCCCTCCGTTGTTGCTGGAGGGCGACTGCCTCGATCTGCCCAGTAGCAGCGTCCTTCACGAGGCTCCTCCACAGAGACCGATCTTGATACCACTGGTACCAGTCGCCGACAAGGCCACTCATGTCAAAGTTCACCTGCACCACAGCAGCCTATCTCCCTCTTCAGCCCGATCCTTTGCCCGTTGAGCCCCCTCCATCCGGTCAAACAGAAGCTGCTTGGTCATGCGGTGGCTGGACGTGTGGGCTACGTGATCCAGCCAACGCAGACTCACCTGTCAGAGGAGCCCACCCATGGGACTGTGTCTATATCTGATCTATGAGCTTCGCAATCCAGCTTGGTTCAGCCCAAGATGGGTCAAGATGGGTCATACGCAGGTCAAACTGACAATTCTGCAGGTGTTTATTGCAAAAAGCAATGAATCTCAGTGGATGAATAAGGGGCCGTCCATAAATGACGTCACGCACCTAGGGGGCGGGGGGGGTCAGACATTTGTGACGATGTGTGACGAGGGGGGGGGGTGAGAAATGTGACGTCACGTAAAAATGCGCAACTTTCAATAAATATAGACAACACGTTCTGGTTAATTAAATAGACGTTTTGATAAATGTTTTCTCCGACAACATCTGAGTGTAGTTTAAAGCAATTTGACGCATGTTTATTTTGTTTTGGAGAGGGGGGGGGGCAGAGCTTTGTGACGTCATATTTGAGGGGGGGGAGTCTGACTTTTTATGACGCCGTGTGACAAGGGGGGGCTGGGGTCAGAAATCGTCCAAAAACGCGTGACGTCATTTATGGACGGCCCCTAAACACGCAGAAGTGATTCACATAATCTTTAGTGAAGATTTACAACGATTTCACGGGTTAACAATCTCAAACATGTGACACAAAACACAAACACAACTCCTTAAATAAAACAGATGATTGATTGCATTACATTCATTATTTAGCTGATTAATATTTTTATTTGTAGCGTCCATTTTCTAAATTCTACTTTGCTGCGTTCGAGTTCTTTATTACTGTCGGTAGATGGCAGGGCAGCATCTTGGGTTGCCCACACATTCGATACACGCGCGGGTCTTCTTCAGACACTCACGTTTCCTCTCACACGTGAACCACTCGCTCGCTAAGGAACTGGCCAAACATCCCGTGGCAGGAACCTCCTGAAAGAGAGTCTTGAGTAGAGTTGCCACCTCCGGAGGTACAAAGAACAACAGCCGTGGCATATAATAGCAAGAAAAAATATGATAATTGTTTTTTTACCCTTCCATCTGGCAACAAAACTGACACCTTTTTTACAAGGCGCACGTGCGCCTTTTGGCGTCATCTGATCCAACCCATGTGAGACTAGGCTCTAAGGAAAGCTGTCTCGGGTGTGGAGCAATCAACTTCAAGGACAGTGCACATGATCAGAGTTATTTTTTTGTTTGCATTATGACTGCAAGTATTGTGGTCTATGCAAACATGACTCCTTGTAAAAAAGGTGTCAGTTTTGTTGCCAGATTGAAGGGTAAAAAAACGATTATCATATTTTTTACTGGCAAATGAGATTCAAATGGAAGAAAAAATATGTCGCCAATGCCCCGGAGCGAACTACTGCAAAAATGTATTGTCACTGGTGGTACATTGTTATGATGATTATTGTCACGCAAATGACTAAAAAAACTTGTAATGCTCCGGGAAGACTTACAGATTTCCCAGGACAACAACAGCTGCTGCTGCTGCCTCCTCATCATGAGGACGATCCTGGAAAAACCAGGACAGGTGGTAAACCTATAGTCTTGAGACTGACTGAGGGCTTTCCTTGGGTAAAATTGGCCCTTATTACTTAAATTATTATACCAACACTTGCCCTATACAATCGTTCAATATTTCGCTCATTTGTATACTGTATACCTCTGCATTCAATAAATATATATGCATGTGTACGTCTCAAAGCTGCGGGCTGGTTAAAAATAAACATTAAATACACATTTTTTTATTTAAAGCTTTCGTGACTGCAGGGATTCATATTCCTGGTTCTTTCGGTAAAGTCACGTAGAAGGGAAAAAAGTGGCGTTTTTTTCTTAACGCCACTTTTTTCAAATTTTCTTGCTGTGGATTTCACACCTGATGATGATTGCTTGTGTTGCAGTCGAAACGTCGTGAGAATTGTATTGTTTTATATTTGTATTATTTTATTATTTCCCTTCTACGTGACTTTACCGAAATAACCAAGAATATTAAATACACATATTATGTATTTCCCCCCTTACAGTATTCAGTTATTAACACGTAGGCTTTTTGGGTAAGATCGCTTGAATATAAATGTGTCGTGAAACCCGGCACCATCAAATGATGCTAGTTACAATTACTGCCGAAACGTCGTACTCGAAATGTAAACGTTGTGGGTTTACTCTCCAACGCATCTGTGTTGCTGTGCTAGTAACGAATTGGCACCTTCTGTTTTCCGCGACAAACCTTTCCAATAAGGCTTCGTCGGGTGGTGGCGGGTTTCACGACGCATTTACATTTACGCGAGACAACCCCGACAACTCTCCATTGTGGACAATATTCAGTGTCCTCCATCCTGAACGGTGGACAATGCGAAATCCCGCTCGGCCAACGTGAAGACCTTCAGGCGCAATATTCGGTGGAAGGCGGTTCTGAAGGGGCGATTGAAGCAGGCGTAGAGGATGGGGTTGAACGCCGAGCTGATGTAGCCGATCCACAGCGTGACCTGGTACACGTCCGACGCGTAGGCAACAAACTCGAAGACGATGACCGTCACGTTGTAGGGCAGCCAGGACAGCAGGAAGAAAAAGATGATAACTCCCAACGTCTTGGTGGCGTTGTGCTCCCTCCGCATGGCCCTCCACTTGTGCAAGGTGTCCGTGCACGCCGCTGCCTCCTGCCCCCTGCGTCTTGACCCCTCCGAGTTGACCTTCTGCGCTTGCCTCCTGGCGATGGAGTAGATCCTGCCGTACACCAGGACGATGACGACGAGGGATATGAAATAGGGCGAGATGCCGATCACCGCCTGGATGCCGATGTAGACGGAGAACACGCAGTCGTCGGGGCAGCGCACCCGTTGGATGAGCCCCCCCGACACGGCTTTGCTCAGCAAGCTCACGAGGCTGGGCGATGAGAAGAGCGCCGATCCGAGCCAACACAGCAGCAGCATCGCCGCCATCGTCTTCCTCGTGACCCTGGCGCCATAACGCAGCGGGTCACTGATGGCCACGTAGCGCTCGAAGGCGATGCAGGTGATGTGGAAGATGGACGAGTTGGTGAACATGTAGTCGAGGAAGTGGTGCGCGTTGCAGAAGGCGCCGGCGCAGAACCAGCATCGGTAGGCGGTCTTCATGACGGCGAAGGGCATGATGACGAGGCCCACGAGGAAGTCGGAGAGAGCCAGGGAGAGAGCGAGCGTCGTCGAGAAGGTCTGCAGCTGCTTGAAGAACGCGATGGAGCAGATGATGAGAAGGTTGCCCAGCACCGTGGCCACGATGAAGGAGGACAGGAGGATCACCACGGCGCACAGATTCGTCGGCGTCAGGCTGGGACCCGTGCAGTTGTATCCGTGGTAGAGCTCCGCGCAGCGATTGCCGGTGTTGTTGTACATGTCACGGTCAAGTTTGCCACGAGGTTATCAAGAGCGGACGGGGTGCCTTTTAAAAAAAAAATAGATTTGTTGAGAAGTATTTCATCGGCGTGGAAATTCAATTGAAATGCCTTCGCTTGCTGTCGTGTGCCGCGACTCGCATGGCGTGTTGAGCGATGTTGCGCCGGTCGCACCACGAGAATGAGCGAGCTGTTCAACACCCGAGCATCGTCAGAGTTTCCTCGCGCAAATCAACGTCGCCTTTTTTGTGTTGTTCTTCGAGATGGCCTGGAGAGCGGAGGAACGCACGTCCGAGATTTACGACATTTCGAAAGCAACATCGTTTTCAACGCCGTATGCGCCATCAATATTATTACACCGTCTTACAAGAGGCCGTCCATAAATGACGTCACGCGATTTTGGACGATTTTTGACCCCTCCCTCGTCACACTGCACCCCTCAAAATGACTTCATAAAGCTCTGCCCTCCCCCCCCCAAAAAAAACCATGCTTCAAATCGCTTTAAACTATTGTCATTGTAGTGCGTATTTAATGTGGCGCTGCACTCTGATGTTGTAGGAGAAAACATTTATTAAAAAGTCTTATTAACTTAAGTAGAACGTGTTGTCTATTATAATAATAATAGGGTTTTCCCCTTTTGTCTGGCCTTTTTACAAGGATTCATGTCTACATTAACCACAATACTTGCAGTCAAAATGCAAACAAAAAACATGTGTTTTTCATACTTATTTAAAGTTGCGCATTTTGATGGGACGTCACATTTCTCAACCCTCACCCCCCCTCGTCACACATCGTCACAAATGTCTGACCCCCCCCCGCCCCTAGGTGCGTGACGTCATTTATGGACGGCCCCTAATGCGATATCCGTGCGAGTGCAAATGTGTGCGACCAGCAATTGTGTCACCATATTGGCACTGGCAACAAGGTCATGGGGGGGGGGGGGGTGCGTCATACTTTCCGCAACGTCGTATCATCCAGAGCATAAGGCACTATCGGTTTATGTTATTTGCATCATCATGAGTCAATGGTTACTGGTGTGTTGAAATATGTTTGGAGATAATTCTGCTTGGAGCTCGAAAACCACAAGTATTGTTGGGATGAGATCGTTTCAGAGTTAAGTTGCCTAAAGTTGAATTGAAATCTCTGGCCGTGAGAGGGAATCGAACTCGGTTCGTAGCGCAGTGCGCTAACCGCTACACTACCGCTCCCCACACAAATACATAGATTAAATATAAAGATCCTCCATATAGCCTTTAACAAACTTCTAGGGCAAGTGCTGTTCGCGAGCACCTATTAAGGCCGGCACGGCAGACGAGAGGGTGCGTGGTCAACACCTTGCCCGACCGCCTTTGTATCTGTAGTGGTGATGTTTACTACAAACCACACAAGGTTCTCATTTGAGGCTGAGCCGACCTAGGGGGAGGCCCCGGACTGATTCAGATCATCGTCACTGGTGTTGTGATAATCGTCACACACACACAGACGTGCACTGCGCATGGGCGGGTTCACGATTATAAACGTACTCTTTGGTTCTTTCGGTAAAGTCACGTAGTTGGAAATAAATTAAAATAAAACAAATAACGACGTTTCGATCGCAACACAATCAATCATCAGGTGGGAAAACCACAGCAAGAATTTTTTTTTTGTTGAAGTGGGAGAGAGAAAAAAAATTATTGTTGTGGTTTTCCCACCTGATGATAATTGCTTGCGTTGCGATCGAAACGTCGTGATATGTTTAATTTTAATTTATTTCTACCTACGTGATTTTACCGAAAGAACCAAAGAGTATGGATTCCTGCAGTAACGAAAGCTTCAAATCAAGATTCATGATAAACGTTTACGTTTTCATAAATGCGGTAAAACGGATTTCCCCGATGAAATCTCCTCCACAAAACTGGCAAAATGTGTAACCTCCCCGCGGGGGTTTGCCCTTTAGAAGCGCGCACAACAAAAACACAAGCCGGCGTGAGTAGGTTAAACGTTGAGTTTTATAAGGGCACCACGGGGTGACCAGCCCCACCCCTCCCACCCCCCACCCAGCCCCATCCTCCCCACCCAGCCCCTCCCCACCCTCCCCTCCCCACCCAGACCGAAATCATTGTTCATGATTGCTTCATTCAAGTCCAACGCTCTAAACCATACAACATAATAATACTTTAATTTAATATGGCGGTCATTAATCCTAATAGCATCCCACAACGCTGTACATTAATTATATATGCAAGGACCACATCCCATTATACAGCCACTACCAACCAAATGACAAACTCCTACGACTACCAAACAAAGCAAATAATGAATAAACTAATCAAGGAATGGCACCAAAAAATGCACTAACAACAACAAAAACAGTTATAGCGTTTAACAAAATAATAAACAACCAATTAGTTATTATTATTTTACAGCCAGTCCAATGACTTCGATGTTTGGCTTTGTCACTCACATTAGGAATCGCAGGTGCATATAATTAATAAATCTATAATATTAATTGTAAACTACTGAAAATAAATTAATAATTGCGTCCAGTTTTGGCAAGGGCGTTGCTCCCCCCCCGCCCCGCAAACTCCACCCATAGGGTTGTCTGTCCATACTTCACCACCCAGGTCCCATTGGTATACCACTCTTTGCCCCTTGATGATGGCGTGACCAGAATTCGAACTCGGGCAGTGCGCTAGCTGCGTCACAACTCCCTATCAGTGCCTGATGAAGCGAGTGCGGGGTCTGTAGCATGATGTTATAAAGGGGCCCTAAATAAAAAAAAACACAAATATTAAAACACATTTTTAACTGGCATAGTAAAGTAATTGTATTTTTCCATTGGCTAGACAGCTAGATAATACGACAAATCGCTAACCTCAAACATCCAGTCGTTCATAAAAGTTGAAGGCCGTATAGTACTATAGTAATAGAGCAAGTGCAGAATCACTGAAACGGAATTGATAGCTTGAAAGCATTTAGCGCGGGGCCATTGAAAGTGCGGGGCACGTAGCTACCACACGTGTAGTAGCTACTACACGTGTGGTAGCTACTACACGTGTAGTAGCTACCACACGTGTAGTAGCTGCCACACGTGCAGCTGCTACACATGCACCTACTACACATGTAGCTTTTGCCACTAGGATCATCCGGCACTACTCCCTATCAATCGGCGCATCAATTACATTTCATTCCTCGGTGGAACGGGTACCCTAAAGGTGTTAATTTACACTCAGCTCTCCATGGATTCGGCAATATTAAAACACATCACGCGAATAGACCGTGTTCCCGCAGGCGGGGAAACCCTTGGGATGACGTCTCGTTGGAAAGGCGGTGACGGGGTGGACAGGTGACAGCAGTTCAGTGCATTTCAGAACTAACGCAGGGAGAGAGGGATAGTGGTGGTGGTGGAGTGGTGGCAGTGGTGGTGGAGGAGTGGTGGCGCAGTGGTTTCGCGAACTTCGCCATGAACCCCTAGGTTCCTAGCCGTGGTCAAATAACCCCCACGATCAGAGGGGTGTGGGGAGGCCCATCAATACAGCAGGGGATTGACAAAAGGGCTGTGGGTGTGAGTGTCCATTTCCCCTAACGTTGTAAAACATGTATACCTTCAACTGCTGTGATATCTGTTTGCATGTTCTGACAATCTGTGTTGCATTGTATTGTGCTCTCGACAATAATAAGTATTACGTTAATAAACCGTTGATCGGAGCCCACATCCCTTCGCCTGCTTGCACTGACCAGTGTGGTGAAGTATGGTCAAACAACAGCCATGACCGACAGAATTCTGGGATACCTTAATCCAGCAGTAAATTGGTACAGGGGCTGGATGTAGATAATGATTAGTAATATTACGTGATAATAATATTACGTAATAATAATGATTATTATGATTTGAAGTTTTCGTGACTGCAGGAATCCATACTCTTTGGTTCTTTCGGTAAAGTCACGTAGGTAGAAAATAAAATAAATGACGACGTTTCGGGCGCAACACAAGCGTCCATCATCAGGTGGCAAAGCTGTCAATCCAATGGGAAAGTTTTCCCACCTGATGGTGGACGCTTGTGTTGTGCCCGAAACGTCGTGATTTTATTATTGTTATTGATGTAAAGGGTAATGCCTATAATTTTGTATATAACAAAAACTCGGCTACAGATAGACATTGAACCAGAAACAGCCATACGTTGGCTGTCGTGCTAATGTGTAAATAGGATATAGAGTACTCTGTGGGTCTTTCGGTAAAGTCACGTAGATAAAAATATATATATAAAAAAAATCACGACGTTTCGATCGCAACACAAGCAATCGTCTTTCAGGTGAAAAAAATACAGCAGGCGGACTGCTGAAGCAGGAATAAATGTAGCGAGAGAGCTACTGCAGCCAGAGGTTATATAGGTTTTATATATCTTCTTGGTTCTTTCGGTAAAGTCACGTAGAATGGAAATAATAAAATAATAAAAATAAAACATAATAAAAAAAATAACCTAATATTATATAATAAAATAATAAAATAATATTATAATATAGGTTTTATATAGGTTTGAGATGGGTACAACCCAAGGGTAAGTGGGCAGGGCTAGAGATGGAATTAGCAAGTACTGTATAGTGTTGTGACCACGAGTGTGTGCGTAAAGCATTTTTTGTTTATTTTGTGTCCAAGTGTAGTGACTGTTCTTTAGTAGCTGTACTGCAAGTGGAAGTCGTCCTTCACAATAACCCTCCTCTCCTCTCTCTCGTCTCCCTCACACCAGCCACGATCAAATTCAATTAATACATTTGATCACTTTATATTTAATTTAACTAATAAACATATAAAAATAGATTTTGTATTAATCATTTTATATGAATACAGTATTTTTGGGTTGTGGAACGAATCATCTGAGTTTCCGTTATTTCTTATGGCCAAATTCGCTTTGATATATTGGATTACGAACACGTTTCCGTAACGAATTATGCTCGCAATCCAAGGTTTTACTGTAAATGTAAGATCGCAGAGCTGGGAATACCTCGGCTATTGTGTTGCTA